TTAAAATTTATTCAATAATATTTTTAAAATATTCATTATTCATGTATGAATGGTTAAAAAATTCTTTTTAAATTCTTTTTAAAATTATTTTAGCTGCACTTTACTTTTTTTTTACCTTTTTTCCCATTTCTTTTGTGCATCCCGAAAGTTAAATTTATTCTCGTCCACACATACACATAAATTGTATTTATTTTTTCCCATTTCTTTTTAAGAATATTTTTTAAATTATATTTTATTTAGGCATCAAATCATTTATTATAAATCGAGAAGGGGTTAAATTTAATCTAGGGTTGCTTAATTTTAGTCTAGGGTTTGCTCGGAGACGGGTGTGTCGGGGTACGGGGTTTTCGAATTGTTTCGGGTCGGGGTTCGGGTCTGGGAAATTTTGAAAAAATCTTTCGGGAACGGGGACGGGGTACGAGGGTCTATTTTAATTTAAAAAACTCTGAAAAAAGTAGGCAGTTCCCCCGGACATCCTCAGAATCCAACTTTGAACAGAACATCCTAACTTCTCTTTGAAACTTCTCAAGATTATAACAATTTTAGTTATTTCAATCCAAAATTTTTTAATAATAATAAAATATTTTAATTATTTAATCTATCGTATACCCTCCAAATACCCCCAACATCTCCATTCCTTTTTATTACTAAAAGAATTCCTTTACATTTATTTTTCCCTCATTTCTTTACCTCCACCAATCAGCGATTGCCCCACACATAAATAACGATGATGAGGCTTTTTTAAATTTATTTTTAAATTTTCTCTATTTTTTTTAAATTGTCAAGATTTTATTGATTATTTTAAAAATTTTATCATAAATTAAAAAAATATTTTAACATATTTTTTAATTAAATTTAAAGGGGAAATGAATTAAAATAAAGAATTGAGCGATAATTTCGAAATAATATGTATTTCTAGTCATTTCTTCTTCCAAAAAATGTTCCAAAATTTGAATTTATAATTTAAATGAAAGAAGAAATATTAAATAAAATAAATTTAAATGATAACAAAAAATGGCAAAAAAGATTTAAATTTGAGGTAAGGAGAAGAGATAATTTTAAATTATTTTGGATTTTAAAATTAAATGACCCTGGAGACTTTTCTGAATTAATTTAAATAATTTTAGAAATACAATAACATTGGGGAAGAAAATGAAAATCAACAAATTTTAAACAATTTATTAAATGATAAGGTTGATGGGGGAAACGAAGAATTGTGGTTATGGGATAATAATATTAATTTGGTATTTGAATTAAAATATTTTATAAATTTAAATATACAGTTAGACTCCCTATAAGATACCAATGAAGCTAGAAAATCCTTATTTAGTTCCCGATTAGGAGTGTTGGATCCAGATCCGAAATCAGTCCAGATGTCCGAAAATTTCGGTTTGGATATCTGAGAATTTCTCTGATCCGTCAACCCTACTTCGGTATTAACTGATCTTGGTATCATTCATCGGTACGGATATCTGGGAATTGGAATATCTGGAATATTGGAATATTCCAGATTTTGGAATATATGTATATGGAATCCTTCGAAAGATCTACTATAAAATTTTATGTAAAGCAAAAAAGCTCAAAATGGACAGGGAGGGAGGTCTGAATCAAACTATTACCCTACTTCCAACATCCAGTAGTTTTGATGTGTATGTATCTTATAGAGATTCTCTCCTTTATTTTGAAATAATTATTTTTTTCTAAAGATTAATTCTAACGTTGTTCAATTTAAAAATAATGGATATTCAATACTTTTCCATCCAGAATATTCTGTTGGGTAATAAATACATAAATTATTTTTTAATAAAAAATTCCTTTTAGAACAGCAGCAATTCGTTCAAAAATTTCATTAAACAAAAATTCTTTGGCTTTTTGGGAAATTTATGTTGAAAATATTTTTGGTTCTTCAATGATGTTTGGTAGAAAAAAATAAAAATTAAAAAAAATTTTGAAAAAATTATTTTAAAGGAATTGGAACAGAAAATTCTTTATTAAATGCTACATTAGTTTTTGCTAATTTATTGGGTGGTTATTGTACTGAGAATTTTAATGAATTTGAAAGTTATGGGTTGTCTCATAAAGTAATTATTCTTTAAATTAACTAAAAGTGTTCTATTTACACGGGTTTACCCAATACCAGTATACGGATCTTGGCTAATTTGACTGAGCCTGGCCGTGTCAAAAGCTAAGTTGCCCAATAAGATTGGCGAATCCGGATATCCGGCTCCGAAAAAAGGCTGACTGGATATCCGGTAATTTTCGGTTTGGATATAGGATCCGGATATACGAAGATTTCTAACTCGCAGCCAACCTTATTACCCAAGTCTCGAGAAGCAATGGTTATCATGACCGTTTAGCAATCTAAACCAGGGCTGGACGTAGACCACAGTCTGCAATTTTTATTTTAAAATCCGCAGTCGCAATCTGAAAGTTGCGAAAAAAAAACACCCAATCCGCTATTGCGTCCAGCCCTAATCTAAACTGATCTAAGACTTCACGTTCTTGCGTTAATTAAAATACAGTGCTGGTCATAAGTTTAGACTCAGGACAAAAAATTTTTTTTTAATCGAGATAATTTTGGTAAAAATAATCGAGACTAAAATTTTTTAATATTTTATTGTAGCATTTTTTACTGGCTTTCAGATGGTATACGTGAAATAATAAATAAAAACAAAAATAAAAAATAAAATCGAATCAAGCATATCCTTGTCTATTTTTTAACGGTCAAAAGTTTAGACTCAAAATTTTAATTGAAAATATTTCGTAGTATAATTTTCCAAAAATTCTAAAAAAATTTCTGTAAACATTTCTACGATACTGAGTAAAAAAGCAAAAAGAACGAAGTCCGTAACTTCATTCATCATCGAGATCTCATATCTCGAAAATCAACGGGAAATCGGGGTTTTTCTTGATTTTATTTATTATTTCACGTATACCATCTGAAAGCCAATAAAAAATTCTACAATAAAATATTAAAAAAATTTTAGTCTCGATTAATTTTACCAAAATTATTTCGATTTAAAAAAATTTTTTGTCCTGAGTCTAAACTTATGACCAGCACTGTAAAATATTCTTTAATTAATTCTTTTAACAAAGGGAATATTTTACCATGGTGGAATTGGTTATAAATTTTGTGAACCATTTCCTGAAAATCTTCCTTGTCGTGTTGGAATAATTTTTGATGGAATTAAACAAAAAATTGGATATTTTCTAAATGGGAATTGGATGGGTTGGGCACCTATAAAATTAGAATTTTTTGATAAAAGGCAACAAAAACAACGTTTATTTTATCCAATGGTTGCTAGGTAGTTAAATAAATATTTTTGGAAAATTTTCTTAGAATTAACTAGTAGTCTATAATATTGGATCTCACATTTATTATTGGCTATACCTCAATTTAGATTTTTAAATTCAACCCACTGCTTGGGTTGAGGGTAATTCCTACTTAGGGTGACTCCTACCCAGAGAGTGGGTTGGAATTCTGATTTCTGATTCCAGATTTTCACTTTTTTCTTCCGATTTCCTTAAATTTTCTAAAAATTTCCAATTCCGATTTCCGACACCTTTTACTATTTAAATCCGCCTCTTTGTTCTGGGCATACTCGATGTTACCAATGATTGGCACACTCGATCCAAGCTACAATCTTTTTTAATTCCAAGTCTCTATAATGTATATCTTATTAACAATGTTTAAAATAGACCTGGAAATACACAAATATTCTTTAATTTTAAAATATTTTTAAATTTCTAGTACCGGTCAACGTTCATTATTTACAATTTTAAATGGTTTAATAAGCATTCCTTCATTAAAACAAATATGTCAACAAATTATTTTAAAAAACATTTTGAAACAAAAAGTATAATTTAATTAATTTTAAAAATAAATTTAAATTTTTTAGGAAGAAAATGAACAAAAAAATATTAATAATTTAATTAATAAATTAAATTTACCAAACAAAATTAAATTTAAATTAATTAAAAAAAGTTTAATTAAAAATAACAATAAAAATAAAAATAAATTTAGAAAAAAGAAAATAATTAAAGTAAAACAACAACAATATTTATTTAAAAGGAAGCAAGAAAATAATTGTAAGGATTTATTTTCATTACCAATTAAATTAACTTTACTTCCAAATTTAATTTAAATATTTAAAAATAATTAAATCAGGGCTCTGATAAGTGAAGGTATAAAAAGTTTAATTAAGAAATATTTAATGGAAAAAAATTCAAAATATTATTACTGCATTACAGAAATAATAATTTCAAGAAATTTATTGTCGCTCACATCGCTTATATTTTTCTCTCCCGAATGAATAATTCAGGCTCGGCAATGGATACGGATAATATCCGGATATCAGCGGATAATATCCGGATACGGACACCAAAATTCGTATCCATTGCCAAACGTGGAATAATTTTGAATAATTTCATTTTTCAAATGACAATTTTGTGAATTTCTAAGCATTTCTTAGCGCCGCAGTCAAAAATTTTGTGATTTTTGGAAGGTCAAGATGCCAAGTATTTGCTTTTAGATGCTGACTTGTTTCTAACATTTAAATTTAATTTCTTGACCAAAAAGTCTAAAAAATCATTTACTTGCAAATAACTAAATTTTCAATTTAGTAAGTATGAGGGTCGATTTATAAGACTGCACTTAAAAAACAAGTACGAATCCAAGCCCTGGATTAAATAGTTTTAAATATTTAATTTAAATTAATCATTTTATTCTTAAAAATATTTTTTACCACAAACTAATCCAAATATCGCTTTAAAATATGCGTCGTCCATTAAGTTAAACAATTACTCTTTTATGATTCTTCTTTTAGAAAATTTATTTTTAAATATTACTAGTATTTAATTTTATAACAAAGAGAATACCGTAAATGCTCTAATTAAAGTCCAGCTCTACTAGAAGCCCATATCTAATACAAGTCCAACCGAGGAGGCCCATCGAAAAATATAAACCTTTTCTCTAATAGAAACCCACTCAAATTGACCCGTTGAAGTATATAAGCCCAGGGCTTATATTAGAGCATTTACGGTTTTAATTAGGTATTTAATTAAAATATTTTTCAATAGTCAACGAATTAATTTACTTTTTCTTTTAATTTTTGTTCCTCATTTTATTCTATTGCGCTCTTTTTCTAATAATTTTAATTCAACTTTATTTACCACTTTTTTAATACAATTTAAGAGATTCGTGCAAAATCAGTCAAATATTAATTCTTTCTTTTTTTAGCTATTTTTTTAGAAATTATTTTTAATTTTAATATTTTTTTAAATTTTATTATTTAAAAAAATATAAGGTTGCTAATTAAATATTTAATAATCACATTTTAGAATTACAAAAATTTGAAGAAAAATTTCGAGTACTTTAATTAAATTTAAGGAAATATAAAATGCTCAATGAATTACCCTTTTTCGATTAATTACCTGTCTCCCAGCGAGAGGTTGAAACTAGAGAGCGGGCTGTATCTGGATCCAGACCTTGATTTTTCCTGGATCCAGAGTCCAGATCAAGGCATTTTTCAGCGTTCCATTTTTCAGCGTCTCTAGTTGAAACAATAATTACCTGGGGCAATTATTTGAGCATCCATATATAGCAATCTTTAATTTATATTTTAAATCGCTGAAAATACGCATGGTTTTATTTAATTATTTTATTTGTAAAGTTATCTTAAGTTTCTCTAAATTTTTTTTTAAATTTTTAAATTACCGCCGAACGATGAATGTGCAATCTAGTCAAGATTATATATAAAAATAATTGTTTTTTTTCTTTAATTTTTTTATTTCACAAGCGTTAAGACCAAAAAAGTGTGCATAATAAGTATATTATAAATAATTTATAATTGACGAATTTTTAAATTTAAAAATATTTTTTTCCAAATATTTGCTTCATAATTTAAATAAATTCGTCAATTAAATGTTTAGACCAGACTTGGTAATAGACATGGATTTTGCTATCCGTATCCGGATATTTACGGCGGATACAGAAGGATATCCGGAGGCATTTTGAGCTTATCTGTATCCATATCCATTACCAAGCTTAGTTTAGACTGTATTTTAATATTGTTTTTAAGGGTTGAAATTAATTTAAAAAATTAAATTTAGTTAATTTTTTTTTAATTTTATTAATTTCCAACCCAAATTTTAATCTCAGCCATATTATTTTTAAATATTTTTGATATTAAATAATTAAAACAAAATTTATAATTATTTTTAGTCTTCAAAAGCAGCTCGTAAAAGTGTATATAAAATTGTAATTTTTTTAAACTTTTTTTCACCACTTTTATTTATAAAGTTGATAGTTTGATTTTTAGAAAAAATCAGATTTTAATTTAAAAAATCTAATATAGATAAAAAATAATTTTTCTAAAAACTAAGGTAGAACCCCGTCCTCCGACGAATTTTTAGGCAAAACCCCCGACCCGACCCCGAAGGCTCGAGGTACTACCTAAGTAAAAACTATCAACTATTATAAAAATACTCATTTTAATATTAATTTCTTTCTCTTATAAAATTTTTTAAATTTCAATTAAAGGTAATATAAAGCTTTAAATATTGTAATATTTTTTAAATTTCATTAATTTTTTTTCGTTACCACATTTTTTTCCTTTTCAACGATATTAACGCAAATATTTTTTTTTTAATTTTTTAATGAATAAATCGGTTATTTTAATAAAGAGAGCAATTTATTTAAAAAATAAGATTAATTTAACAGTAAATCTCGTTTATGGAAAAATAAATTTTGTCAATGTAAAATAATGAAAAAATATCAAAATATAAGCTGATATGGAAAATAATTTTTGAAGCAATAAATTGGGCCAGAAAAAGGAAATTTTAGAAAATATATCTAAATAAATAGAAAGGATATATATTTCTAGATAAATTAGAGATCATACACCCCAAAACAAATTTATGTAGCTGCGCTTGCATTCGTCCCAATGAACAAAAACCCATGGATAGTCCCACCTAAAATTCCTCCCATCTTAAAATGTCCACAGAGTAAAAATACTCATTTGCCGAACATGTCAAATGTGCCAGCTGCCGAGATTCTTGACTCTGTTGGACATTTTTAGATGAGACGAATTTTTAGGTGGGACGAATCCAGAGTTTTTGGTCAGGGAGGCGAATCTAAGAGGGGCAATGCAGGTTGGACGAATCTACAGTGAGCCGATTAATTTAGCAATCAAATTAGATTTTCACACGGAAATAAGTCGAAAAAGCAAGCATTCCCTTGAACATCTCAAAAAGAATTTTTTATGGTTTATCCCTCCAATCTCTAATTTTAAAATTAAGTAGATGAACAGAGTAGTCCAAAAGTAAAAGTTTTTTATTTAAAATAAATACTTATCTAACCAGTTTTTATTTTTCCACCTTCATTCCAAAGTATAGGGCTCTGCCGCCGGCAAATTATTGTGGTGCAAATTACGTCTTGATTGGCGATTTCGAAAGTATGGAGTTTCTTTGTAAATATACCAGATGTTTCCAGTAAAAAGAATAAAAAGACCAACACCAGCAAGCTTTAAAAAATAAAATGTTTAAAATTAATCACATTCACGCTTACACGTTTATTCCCTATTTTTCCTGTGAAATTTGCGGTTTATTACAAGGGTGTAGTCAGGGGGCTTCCGGAGCTAAAGCCCCCCCCCCTCCCCAAAAATGAGGAAAAAGAAAAATTTGAAAAGGGGATTGAGCAGAAAAGTGAAAATTTTCGCCTATGACCCTGGGTGGTTAAAAACTAACCGAAGCAATCGCCAAAGTTGCGTGAACTGAATAAGAAGTATATTCACATTTTCTGCCCCCACAAATATCTATTGCCGCAAGTGTTGCATTTACATTTTCGGGTTTTGTAGCTTCTTCAATTCTGCGTGCAGAAATTGAAAAGAATAGAGTCCCAAACATCCAAAAAACAGCCAAAAGAGCAGTTACCGTTAAATCCTTTAAAATTTGTTTAATTTAAATATTTAAAAAAAATTTAAAAAATACAAGAATGGGTAATCTGTCATCACTTGCATAAACTCCATAGGAGAAAATGTAGAAGAGCAACATACCGGTTGTCAAGAATAAAGATAATGGAATTAGATATGAGTAGAAATCAGTTCCACTAAAAAAATTTTTTTCAATTTTTAAATTTTATTTCGAAAAATTTTGGGATTTGTACAGAGGAGTTTTCTTATATACTTTTTTCAGCGGAAAGGACCAAAGATAAATTACTGAATCAAGTAAAGCTTTGCAGGGGCATAGTCAGGGGATCGTTTCATAAGGTCCCCTTTAGGAGGGCTAAAATGGAGGTGTGCACTAACATTTTGGCGTTTCAAACGCAAATTTTTCTGTAAATATATTTTTCGGCGGCGCAGGAAAAATTTTCTGAATTTTGGGGATTGTAGGCGAAAGAATTCACTTTTTTGATCATTTCCTTTCCAAAATTTTTTCATTCTCCCAATTTCAGGGGGCCATAGCCCCTATCCCTTGGCTACGTCAGGGGATAAAGGCTTAATAAATTTACTGATAAATTTAATAAATTCTCTTTGTTAAATTTAAAAACATACGAGCCAAAGTCATCCTTAAACAGAAAAACTTCAGTATCCGAATCATTACATCGATGGACTTTATAGCCACTAATACTACAAAAAATAATAATAAAATTAGAAAATACTTAAAAATAAACTCAAGAGAATGATATTCATAAGTTGCTCTTTCTGTTTGATTTTTTGCCGTTGGAGGGCCACATTTAATATCAAGGTCGAATTGCCAGCCGTGAAAAGCAGCAAAGACAATTAGACAGAACACCTAGAAAAATATTTTAGTTAGAAATCAAAAAACGGAAAAATCTTTTTATTGTTAGACATTCGTTTCATAACTTAAAAAAGTAACGTGGCTCGACAAGACTTTTCCAGATTATGCCGATTTTGATCTTGACTCAACTAAAAATTTTTATAAGACAAAACTGAAGCACTATTCTACCATGATCCTTTATGATCTTTCAATTTAAAATATTTTAATAAAAATCCAAACCGCTTCAAGAAGCCGAATAAATCCAATTGGCATTTTCAGTTGCTCAAAATCAATGCGTCTGTAGACACGATCCATTGGAGACGATTGAGTTGGTGCAATAGGCATTTTTCTAATCCTTCTATTAAAACCATTTCAAAAATTATTTTGAAAAAAATTAAAATATATAATTGTGCAAAACAAAATATAAAATTGAAAAAAGATTAAATAAAAGTCCAATTTTATCCAACACAATTTTACAATTACATAAATTGAAGAATTCTACTATAAAAGGGAAAAACAACATTATTATTGGTGACATAAGATCCTAATCAGGCATTTTTTCTTTTCCATATCCAAACTGCAAAATTAAATAAATTCTGTCGCAAAAAATTAATCAAAAATCACCTTAATTATGGTTTCCCAACCACAATAGTATTATCATTCACGAATTCATAATCAGGAATTGCCATGTTTAACGGTGCCGGGCCTTTTCGAATGCGTCCAGAGGCATCGTAATGAGAGCCATGACACGGGCAAAAATAGCCACCAAATTCACCCATATTAGCTTTAATTATAAAAGTAATTTTATTTAAATATAGAAAATGATCAAAGAGTAAATTTTTTCGAATACAGCCCTTGAAATTTATGGATGCGGCGCAAGAAATAAAATGTTAGCACTTTCAGCGTCAAAAAATATGAATCAAGCATCTTCAAAAACAATTCCCCACCCTTTCCAAAAAAATTTTCTGGCTGTGTCCCTGATCCAATCTCAATACTTTATCCTAGCAAACGTTATAGAAAAATTCAATCTCTATTCAATCGATACTCTAATTGGAGAGTGGCAAAGGAAAAAGAACGAAATTGAGGAAAGTGACCATTATGAGACAGCTAGGAGAGGAAAAGAGGGAAGGGGCAAACAAAAAATATAAAAATGATTATCGGTACTACTGAAGATTGTGGGGCTCTTTCTGCGGACTTTTTTTGCGGACTTTTCCTCCCTTTCTTTCAAATGTATTTTTTAAAGTTTTGGTTGTTTTGCTTGCAGCAAGTTTTGCCTGTAGCAACTAACTGTCAAAGGATTAATTTTTATGTCTGTTTGAAAAATGTGTTCACCATTGATTTAAACATTATAACGATTTCAATTACTCGATGAACTTCAACAATGGATCACTGATCCCGGAAATAAAAAGAACATGTGATTGTGGAACAGAAATGCGGGTACTTTCAAACCTTGTCCCCCCCCCCCATTATTTTTATTACCTAAGATTGTATAAAATGGTCAGATTTCCTTCTTCCTCTCTTTCCTCTATTTGAGCTTGGCATATTCAAACAAGACATTGTTGATAAAGAGAAGATTAAAATTAATTGTTGTTCAATATTTTTAATTGAGTTGTTCAATATTGAGTTCAATTTATTTTTTTCAGTTGTTCAATATTTTTAAATATACATAAGAATGTAATGTTTTTACACAGAAATTCATAATGTTATACACCAAATCAATTTTATTTACTGCTTTTTTTGTTTAAATTGTTTTCGAAGGCAAAAAAATAAGTGTATGACTATAAAAACTAATCTTCTCTTTATCAATGTCTCGTTTGAATTTGCCACAGGGCAAATAAAAGAAGGAGAGGAAGAAGAAAATCTGACCTTTATGTACAATCTTATGTAAGAAAAATAATAGGGGAGGGGCGTTGACAGTTAGTTGCTACAAGTAAAACATTCAAAAGAAAGGGAGGAAAAGTCCGCAAAAAAAGTCCGCAGAAAGAGCCCCACAATCTTCAGTAGTACCTGATTATCAAATAAAAATTAAAAAATAAAACCAACATATTGGAATACATCCCAAATGAGTACAAACACCAATAAGAATCGACCATTCTGGACGTTGAACACGGTCCTCATCCTTCTGTGGATCACGAAGTTGAGAAACTTCGACGGCCTGTTCCCGTTTAATTTCAGATTCAGTTCGATGTTTGACAAATATAGGCTTTCCACGCCATTCGAAAGTTTTTGTCTTTCCTTCCGGAACTTCGTCCAAATTGATTTCAACAGAAGCCATAGCTTTCATATCGGCAGGCATAGATTTGTATTCGACAAGCGTATTGAGTATAACCTTTGCTGAGATAACAGAACAAGCACCCCCAACTAAATAGAAAATTTAAAAGATAAGGTAATTTTGAAGTTCGTACGCCCCCCTTCTTTTTTCTTTCTCAAGGTATAAAAATGGTCAGTCTTAAGAATGTAATCACAACGAGCTTTGTCGAATGACACCAAAACTAACAGACACCGCTCTTTGTGTTCTACACTCTTCTGAAGACGGGCCATTTTTAATACCTTGAGAAAGAAAAAAGAGAGGGGAGGGAGTACGAACTTCTAAATTACCGATAAGAAATAAAGACAGGAATCGAACCCGAAATATTAAAAATAAAATTTAAAAAACCTCCATAAACTATAGCACTTGGAGTACCACGCCTATCATCAACACTTTCACTAGCCTCAGAGCCAGTCGGATTTTTAACCGACTCTAAACGATAGTCATCAAAATTGGGAAAAACAATGTCCGTATGAGAAGCATTGCGTTTGTTCACAGCACAAATAGACAAAGTTGATTTGATTGAGTCAAAAATTGGACGTTTAGCGGTGGATAATATGCTGATCATAATTAATTAATCTATTCCTAAAATTAAAAAAGAAACAATATATAGATAAAATTATCCGAACTGTTACTGCCATTGAAGAGGAACTGGTACTTTTTTACTCCCCCCCCCCTCCCCGTGAATTTTTTGGTAAATAAGTATAAAATGGTCAGTCAGTCATAGGTCGTTATAAAACTCGTCGAGCTGTGTTGAATGACACCAAAATCAACCTCCGGTATTAACTTTGGACCGAGATACAGATCCCCGAAAATCCCATTTTTCTTGCCCAAGTTCTTTTCTTCATTAATGTCTTTTATTAGAATATGCACAATGAAATAGAGTGAAATTAAGGAAGGAAGTCTGACCTTTCTGTACATACAAAGGAAAAAACTTGGAAAGAAAAAATATGGCTCCAAAAAAATAAAAAAGGACTAAAATGTCACAAAAAGTTTTTTGGGGTACAGCCCAATTAGGCGCGCGGCCATAACGGCGCAAAGCCATAACTTACGTCAAGATTCCCGAATCTTAACAAATTTAGTATTAAACGATTCCTTTCATCGAGCTAAAGAGCTTGATATCAAAAATGATAAGGGCCAGAAATTTTCCAGCAAGTTATGGCTTTGCGCCGTTATGGCCGCGCGCCTACTTGGGCTGTCCCAAGTTTTGCGCCTAATTGTCTTATGCCATTTATGCGCGACAAAAAATATTTCGTTAATTCGCGTCATTTAATCGAAGAATTGATCAAGTATGAATCATTCAATTTTCCTTATAAATTAAAGTAAAATTTAATTTAAAAAGCAATTTTTGACATATTATTTGGCAATATTGTTTGTTCCTCTTACTCATTTTTGCTTGTTAGATTTTTCTTTAAATTCTTTTTAGCGAAAAAATTGTTGGAAATGGGATTTGGTCCCCAACTTTCTTTGCTGCTTTGGAAGAATTTAATTGTTTTGTGGCGAAGCAAATGTATGTTTCTTTTAGAACTTGCATTTTTGTTTATTCTTTTGCCCGTCGTTCTGGTTGTTGTGAGATATGTAAGGAATTTATATTTAATTTTAATTCTTAAATACTTTTCAGGCTCCAAAGCCAGAGATTGAGGAGCAATATTCTTTTGAACCATTTCAAGTAACGGGAGATTCTCTAGACATCAATAGAAGTATTTCCCACATTAGCAGCATTGACAAATATTACAATTGTGGACGTGATGTTGATATCCATCTTGGATTTAGGTTTCAGTTAAATTATTTGGCAATCCCGGAGAATTGGGGTTTCTTTGAAAAAAAATGTTAAAAAGTAGAAAGGATTTTTCTAGGGTAAAAAATACTGATTACGAATCTGAGCTCATTGTCAGATTTTTAAAAGTTCGTTGAGTTCTACATGATTTTGAAAGATTGACTATCTTTGTACAATGTCCGTCGTCAAATTCCGAATTCGGGTTCGGGATTAGATTTTTCAAAATCTGAGCTCAGATTCTTAATCAGCATATTTTTTACTCTAGAAAAATCCTTTCTTATTTTTAAAATTTTTATTCGAAGAAACCCCAATTCTCCGGGATTGCCAATAATTTATTAAAATTTGCTTTAGTTATGAGCCCGGAATGGATAAATTGGCATTCGAAATCATGGAGGCGTTAAGTGAACGTTACTCGGATAATGAGACGATGCGTATTTTTATTCACAACTTTACTCGTCTCGAAACGATGATGGAAGTTTTGAAAGAAGATTTAAATAGTACTAGGGAATATATGTGCAGTGAATATATCGGTTTGTTTTTAAATTAAATTTTTGGGTTGACACTTACATGGAACCTTAACGAACTTCAGGGAAAATTTTTCAATTTAATTTATACCATCGTGTAGAGCAGAGGGGTATTCCAATATCCAAAATTTGCCATCGCCAGCAAAGTATCGGCCCTACCCCTCAAATCGGAAGAGGGGGGGGGAATAGTTTCGGCCCTTTTTTCCCTCTTCGCAACTTTTAGAGCGGTTGAGTCGCCCTCACTTTTCTTTTTATTTCTCTTCTTTTCTGGTGAGAATATTTTCTACTTTCCTCCAATTAAAAACAAAAAATACATCCTACAACCCCAAATTTATCAGGGAGACTAACTAAATTTTGTACTTTCCTAGGCGGTGTTCATTTCCAAAATGTACGCCTTCAGAGTGGGAAATCTAAACCTCAACTTGTCTACCGTATTTTGATGCCTCAGAAGACTAACATGCTTACTGAAAATAACGACTTTGATCTTTCATTATTTTGGTTTGATAATAGTCCAAACAGTGCACAGGCTGACCACAATCAAATACCAGGCAAGCCACCATATTGGCAAAGAGGATTTCTTTCAATTCAGTTTGCAATCGAAAGTACTTTTATCGAAATGGTATAAATATATTTTGGCTGTAGTTAGTTCACCGGAAAAGTTCGGGACGTGACATATGTCATTCGATTCGTCTCGGCGAGCTGAGTCGAACGGTATCACTCCCAATTTCAGGAAATGATCCTGGACCGAGTTATAGGTCCCGAAAAATTGAAAAACCATAGGGGAAGTAAGCTCGATTTTGGGGTAAAAAACCCGTTCGACTCACAATCAGCTCGCCGAGACGAATCGAATGAATATGTCACGTCCCGAACTTTTACCTCCGGTGAACTACACTATATCCTATATTTTCATTTCTTTCCTATATACCTATTAAATATTTTTTATTAGAACAAAGGTCCAGACTATATGAAAAATAAAGATTTATATCTTTTGCGTGTCCCTATCGATAAATCAATGGATGGTGGGATTTTCTTTTTTCTGAAGGGTGTTATGGTTCTATGGCTTTTATCTATTTCTGGAATCATGTTACATACTTCGAAAGAAATTGTTATTGATAAAGAAGCTGGAATTAAGGTTTTTAAAATTATATTTTTATATAAATAAAATTTGGCGCTTGTCTAGTTTATGCGTCCAATCAACAAAAAATTCGATTTTTCTTGGTGTTACAAGGTTGCCTATCCCTCGGAATTTCTGAAAGTTAAAATCGTTTTTCTGAAATTTTTAAAAATTGGCTATAACTTTCCGAAATTTCGAGGAATAAGTTAAGGCAACCTTGCAACACCAAAGCCAATGGGCGTAGATCCCGAAAATGAAGAAATGTTTTAAACCCATACCCCAACCTTGCAACACCAAGAAAAATCGAATTCTTTGTTGATTGGACGCATAAACTAGACCAGCACCTAAAATTTATTTTTAGACTTACATGTCTGTAATGGGATTACATCCACTGGCTTTTTATTTATCCCATATTATTTTTGGAATTATCAAATCAACTGCTGTTATGGTTATTTGCACTGCATTACTTTCGATTAGACTTCAAGTATTTTTTAATTTTTATTTAATTTACATCAATATTTTTTAAGTTTTCGAGTTCTTTACTTTTCATTACTCTCACTGTTCTTTTTGCCGTTTCAATGATTTTTATGTCAGCTTTATTTTCTGCAATCTTCAAAACAACACAACTTGCACAACTTTTTTGTATGGTTATCCCAATCCTTCTTGTTATTCTCAACCATCAACTTGCGCCAGCAATTACAAATGTGTGGCTCTGCTTTTTGTTTTCTTTGAATCCAATTACAGCCTTTTATTATGGTTTAGCTCACATCATTAATGCTGAAAAGAATAGTTTGTATTTTAATATTTCATAAGTATATGTGACCAAATTTAGTGATTTATCTTGGTTGGTTTTCAATCTTCGACAATGGAACCACTCAATTCACAATTGCTTATGTTCTGTTTATGTTCATTGTTGACTCTGCCGTTCTTTGCTTTTTGATCTTCTATATTGACTCCGTTTTCCCCACTGATGGTTCTGCAAAAAAGCATCCATTATTTCTTTTTGAGGTTATTTTTTGTATTATTTTTACAATATTTTTTTAAATTTAAGAATTTTTGGAAAAGGCATTCACATCAACGTCTTAATAAAATGCCACCAGTTGATCAGACCGATTCAAAAATTCTTATCGAAAATATGGAACCAGAAAATGCAAGCATTGACGAGGCTGATATTATTATTCAGAATCTCAGCAAGCGTTTTGGTTTTTGGGGAAATCTTGCCGTTGACAATCTTAATTTTAGAGCTTATCGTGGACAAGTAACTATATTAATTTTATTTTTAAATTTATTTTAAATAAAAAGGTAACCGTTTTACTTGGACATAATGGAGCTGGAAAGACTACAACATTTTCTATGATTACCGGGTCTATTACCTCTTCTGGTGGTTATGTAATTATTTGTGGTAGAAATTTGGAAGACAATTTGGATGATTGTCGGAAAGTCATTGGTAGTATTTTCGATACTTCGTTTTTGTTTCTAATAGCACTTTCTAGGTTATTGTCCACAACACAATCCATTGTTCGAAAAAGTAACTGTCAGGGAGCATTTACAACTTTATGCTGGTCTTAAAACTTCGACACTGAATGGACCTCATGGAAAAAATATTTTAAATGAAGAAATTGCTGATATACTTGATAGCATAAATCTGCGTGCTTCAATAGATATAGTTTGTAATCTAAAATTAAAAATTTTTAAATTAATTTGTAGCAATCTCAAAATCTGAGTGGCGGTCAAAAACGTAAACTTTGTGTTGCTATTTCTTTGGTTGCTGGAAGCCAAGTTGTTCTGCTTGACGAACCTACAGCTGGAATGGATCCGATAGCTCGAAAAGAAATATCTACTTTGCTTACAAAAATCAAAAAGGATAGGTTTTATTGAATTTTAAATAATTTGGTTAATTTATATTTTATTAAGGACAATTCTGTTAACTACTCATTATATGGATGAAGCTGATAAATTGGGTGATAGAGTTGGGATAATGGTCAACGGTCGTTTGATGTGTAATGGGTCACCTGATTTTCTGAAGAAAAAATTCGGAACCGGCTTTATTCTCACTATTGTAAGCAAATTTCTGTCGTATATTTAAATTTTGCAAAATAGGTATGCAATTCTCAGCCACAATTTTTCTTTGAAAACATTGAAGAAATTCTTACAACAATTCAGAAGCACTCACCTGATGCGTATGTCTATCGATCAAATCGATTTCCACAATTTTCTATAATATTGCCTATTTCTGACAAAAGACAGTAAGTATTGAAATTTCATTTTATTCATAAGTTGGGGTTCGGTGCTTTACTAAAGGGCATATTTTGAGAGGGACATATGGGCCTTTGACGTTCCGAAAGCAAACGTTTGTTTATCATATTTATTTAAGTTTTGCTGATTTATTTGACGAGCTCCAATTTGAAAAAGAACGGCTTTGTATTGAATCATTTGGACTTTCTCTCAATACGCTTGAACAAGTTTTTCTAAGGTAACCTGAATTGTTCTTATTGTTATTCAAGTATTTTATTTTTTGTACAGAGTAGGTGAACTTGCTGAACCAGAGGAACACAAAGCTTTTAGTGAAGATGTTGTGGATGGTAATGTAACTGAAACTCCGGCACAAAAACTTGCTTCAACATTATTTGGTGTGAGACAGCAACAGGTATTCATCACTTTGTTAACATATCATTAGTTTTCAGTTTGTTAACACAAACTTCTCAAAAATTAAATTATGGTTGCGACAAATATTTGCTTTGTTATGGCGTCAATATCTTTGGACCATTCGAAATCCGTTGAGAAGTCTTTTACCAATTGCTATCGCCCTTCTTTTGTTCTACTTGATTAAGCCTTCGTCTAGTCCTAAAGATTCTGCTGATAATAAACATCGCTCTCTTTCTCTTGCTGACGCTAACGAAGAATTTAGGATTCCTATTCAGATAGCAGGTTTTAAAATAAAGCGTACAATCAACCTAATTTATTCCTTAATTTAGATCCAAAACTTCGTAAAGTATTTACGGATCTTTCGGAGGGTGTATGTTCAAATTGTCATTTTAACATTGATCCGAAGAAGGATTTGCATAGCGAACTCAAAAATTATGTACATCAGATGCCTCCAATGGTTGCAGGTGTTGCCATTTATGAAAACAAATCGTCAGGTCATCTTCAATTTGAGGCTATTTTTAATGGACTTGCTATCCACTCTCCTCCAAGTGCAATTTCATTTATTAGCAATGGATTACTTGGCTCTAAATCTTGTAAGTTTTCCATTTTGTTTTTTTTAATTATTATTAAATACATATTTTTGATTCATAAAGTATATTTTAGCTTCGATTCGTCTTACAATTGAAGTTTATGATATTCCAAGAACAATTCCTGAAGATATTTCAGCAATATTTACGCAAATTGCTTTATCTATTGGCATAATTTTATGCTTTTCAATATTTTCTGCATCAATGCTAGTTCCACTGGTCGAAGAGAGAAGCATTAAATTCAAACATCAACTTATGCTCACAAAATTACACGTTGTAACTTATTGGATTTCGGTGTTCATTTGGAATGCTATATTTTATACATTTTACTGTTCCTTCCTTCTCTTATTTTTCCTTTATTTTGGTTGGATGAAGGGACATTTTGGAAGGTTTTTTCCCAAAATTTACTTTATTTTAAACACTATATTCCAGTCTTATCCAATTGTGGGCTGCATATCTTTGGTGTTATGTTGCCCAAATTGCATTTGTTTCGTTCTTGTTTGATAAATGGCAAAGAGCATTTACAGCTTTATTTTCATGGGGGACTATTACCTCAATTTTCTTCCGTGTGTTGACAATTATTTTAACTTTTATGCTTCATTACGCCGATGAAAAACATCTAATTGATCCATTGAATCAATTCTTTTATATAATCAATCCAATATATGTTTTTAGTAAGTCGAAGTTCATAGTAATTATTATCTTTTTACGTTTATAGGTATGGGCATTGTCAAAATATCACTGTCTACAGTATTCAGTAATGGATGGCTTCTTAAGGAAGAAGTGCTTACTCTGTTAATTTCTGGTTGTGTGTTTTGGATTCTAGTTGTGCTTGTTCAATCTCGAACGATTTCAACTAAATTTAACATCATATATTCAAATTTAAACAACAAAGATCCGCTCAGAAATGTAACTAGCATTTATTTTTGTTTTCTAAATTTTCTTATATAGAGTAAATCAGAGGATATTGATGTTCAAACTGAGCGATCTCGACTTGTCTCTACAAACGATATCGAGTTTGTATTGGCAGTGAGAGATCTGACAAAACTTTATAGTAATTTCCCTGCCCTTCAAAAACTCACATTTGGCATTAGTGGCAATGAATGTTTTGGATTACTAGGTGAACATTAAAATTTGTAAATGATTTAATAAAAGCTCTAAAATTTAGGTGTAAATGGTGCTGGCAAAACTACAACATTTGACATTCTTACGGGAGTGCGTTTTGCTACATCCGGTTCTGCGACGGTCGATGGTGTTAATGTTAATGCGGGACCTGCAATTGGTTATTGTCCTCAGTTTGATGCGATTCCAATGGAATTGACGGGCAGACAGGTGCTTAAACTTGTTGCTCGTCTCAATGGATTATCTGATGTTTCGACGCGTATTCGTCAAATTCTTCATGCCATTCGCTTAGAAGAGCATGCTGATAAATTAATTAAAAAATACAGGTTTATTGCAAATTTATTATATTTGCCTAAAAAATTTCTTTAAGTGGTGGACAACGCCGTAGAATTTCCATTGGTTTGGCTTTGCTTACACGCTCTTCCTTGATTATGCTTGATGAACCCACAGCCGGTATTGATCCATCAACTCGTCGACAGATTTGGAATTTGTTACAAGCAATTCGTCAACAAGGCATTGCAATTCTTTTGACTTCACATTCTATGGAGGAATGTGAAGAATTGTGTAGTCGAATCGCTTTTCTCAACAAAGGGTTGATGATTGGTATTGGCAGTAGTCAACATTTAAAGAGCAGGTTATCAATGTAATCATTATTTTTATTCCAACTTTTATTATAGATTTGGAGGCAGTTTCTTGTTAGCAATTACAATTTCTAATCCATCTGAAGAGATAACACAAAAATTAAACCAAATTGTCGGTGAAGAATTTGAGGTTGGCAAAATTATATTTTAATTGTTAATATACATAAATATTTACTTTTAAAGAATGCAAAAATGCTGGACGATCCATCTGCATCTAATATACTCCGCTGGGAAATTCCAAAATCTGTTGATGGAATTTGGGGCAAATTATTCAGACAGGCACAAAATTTAGCCGATACATACAATGTTTGTATTTTTATTTAAAATATTTTTAATCTAATTTTTGTTATTTTGTCAAGGATTCTCCGTCTGATTTGAATTTGCCACGAATTGTTGATTTTACTTTAACACAGAATTCACTTGAGCAAGTATTTTTGCGTCTTTCTGGTAAAGAATTTGAGAAATGAGAGAGTAAATTATATGCCTTTATTGTGTAAATTCCTTTATTCAAGTACGCATTCCCTTTTAATTTATTTCGTTTATCGGGTTTTTTTCTGTTTAAGAATTTTATTTTTTGACGAAATTTTTGTTCCGATATACATATTATAACCAAAAATTACTACAAACTTTTAGAAAAATTATAAACAATTCCATATATATTTTTCCCTTGACAGCAATATGCAAAGGGCTGGATAAGATTTTTGGAATATTATACTTTGATAGTTGGAAAAGTTTACATAAAATTTAATTTAAAATTGATATGACCTTATAATTTAATACAGACGAACCTTTTTTGTATACCCTAAATTCGGTACTCCTCACTCACATCAGTGTAATTTATTATTATTGAGTGGTTTATAAGGTATAATTTTTTCAGCTTAAAAGTTTATCTAAAATCCTGTATTGTATCTTCTTAGATATTTCCTAGAAGTTATTTAAATTTATAGATTTATTAATATTCCAAAAATCTTTCCAGCTTCTTGATTTAATCATCAACAAAATTTATTTTATATGTACACATAAATATATTTATATCTCACCATTCCTCCTTTTATATATCTCTTATAGTATTGTTCAAAAACACCATAACCATTGCTTTAATTTAAACCAAAAAAAATTTTTTTTCGATAAATTTATTTTTAAAATTTTTTTGGAATAATTTTTATTTGTTAATTAATTCAATTATTTTTTTGTACTTAAACTTTATTTTTCAATATTTTTTAGAATTATTTATAATTTAAAATGTCTTCGCAATCAATGACTGAACGTCACAACTCTACAAAACTCTTTCACGAAAAACTTTCAATGCTAAATGATAATCTTATTAAATTTCTACAAAAACAACATGCTAAGAAGCCCTATGCAGATTTGGTTTGTTTGTTTGTTTTTTTGGATAATTTTTAAGTTTTTAGACACCTACTTTAAATGATTACTTCAATCATCTTCGTACCTTGGATCAAATGTATTCCTCTGCTCCTGAATCGGATCTGACTTCTCCGAAACCGGCTCAAAGTAAATTTTAAAAATTTTGTGATTTTATGTTGATTTCTAAGGAAAAGTTGAAAAATCTATAAAATTTATTTTTTAAAAGCTGCTAGCAACCAATTTCCATCTTTCATTACTCCTGTTTCTGTTGGAAAAACTTCTGCAACAACTTTGACTTCTACAGCGATAACAGCAACAATTACTCCAACTTCTACTGCGCCAACATTTCCTTTGGTTTCACCCAAGCCTTTGTTTGGTGGTTTTTCTCAGACTTCTAAAGACAGCAATGGTATTAATTGTAAGTAATTTTATATTTTTAATGAATGAAATTAAATAAAACAGGCACTTTACCACTAACTCACTTTAACCAATTATTATGTGATTAAGCATGAATCCTTTCTAATTTTATTTTTTCAGCAACAACTACTCTTTCGACCTCAACCTTCACTATACCAACTTTACCCACATCAATTACTTCTTCTGGTTCAAATAATTTGTTTTCATTGCCAAAAACAACAAATTCTTTACCTGTTGAAGCTCCTGCCAAAAAATCACTTAAACGTTCAGCGGACACTTCGATAGAAGAAAACGGAACACAAAAGAAACAATTATTTTCATGTTATTTTTATTGAATTTAAATTTACTTTCTTTTTTTAGCAATTTCTGCCAACCAATTGCCAACTTTTCCTTCTTTTTCTACTCAAAAAACAACGGGGGAAATAACTTTAGCTACTCCAACATTTACATCAAATATTACCACAACAACAACATCTGTTTCTTCTGCTGCTCCACCATTTGTTTTTGGTTCTTCGAAGCCGGCGGTTAATTTGTTTAGTGGCACTAATTCATTATTTTCGACTCCTGCAGTTGAAACTACAAAGGATAATAATGGTATTTTAAATTTTTTGTTAAATAATTTACAAAAAACATTTTGTGATAAGTAGAATTTTCGCACAATACATTGAAGAAATATTTTACTGTTTTGTATTTTTGAGAAAGTCTGGCCCCTTTTCTTTTTTTTATTTTAACAGGGCCAGATTTCAGGTTAAAATTTTTCATGTGGGACATGCCCAATTAGGCGCGCGGCCATAACGGCGCAAAGCCATAACTTGCTGGAAATTTTTGGCTCTTATCAATTTTGGTACCAATCTCTTTAGCTCGATGAGAGGAATCGTTTAATACTAAATTTGTTAGGATTAGGAAATCTTGAAGCAAGTTATGGCTTTGCGCCGTACTTGGGCTGTACCCTTATATGATTTACCGAATCCTGAAATACTTGGCCAAGCTTTTCCCGAGCCCGAACTCCAATATTTAATAATAATTTAATATTTAAATTTAAAAACATTTTTAAAAGCTTCTGTCATCAAACCGTCACTTTTTCCTTCTTTTTCTGAGAAAACAAATGGAGAAACAAATTCTACAATTACAAAAACAACTTCAAATTTAATTACTCCAATAACTTCTTTGACTTCAACAAAAACAACAACTTCTACTGTTCCAACATTTTCTTTTGGCGGGTCTCTGTCCAAGCCATTTGGTGGTATTAGTTCAAATTTGTCTTCTAATACTTCTAATATATTCGAGACTTCAAAAGAAAATAATGGTAACGATTTAAAAGAAATTTTTAATAATTAAAAAAAAATTAGGATTTTATAGATAATTATTGTAGGTAAACGTAACCTTTCATTTTTTGTAAATTTAAAATTACATGTCCGAACTTTTTGATGGACGCGAAATCTAACAAGAGAATATCGTTTAATGTCAGTGCGAATTTGATAATTTTTACATTCGATAGAGGACCCTCGACTTACTATAGTTGAACAAAGAAATTATCAAATTCGCACTGACAGTAAACGATGTTCCTTTGTAAGAAAAGGGACTTCGAACAGTTTTTAGACCTATTTTTTATTTTTTGACTATTTTTTTCGACCTAATTTTTGCGACCTTACAGTTTTTGAGACCTACCAACCTTGCTATTTTGAAAAAAATTTTTTTAATTCGAAGTCTCGTTTTCTTATTTAGACATATACTAAAAATATTTTTGGACATATACTAAAAATATTAACATAACTAAAAAATATTAATGCCTAATTAAAAATTTCTTTTTGTTAAGTTTCTTCTGCTCTTAAATTTCCTTCCACCTTTCCATCTTTCTTTTCTCTTGACAAAACAACAGGAGGATTAACTGCCACAACAACAACAACCTCTACTACAACTTCGACAACTTCTACCATTTCAACATTTTCTTTTGGACTTTCATCTAAACCGTCTTTATTTGGCGGTACTTCATCTTCATTATTCTCATCTTCGACAGTTGAAGCTCCAAAAAATAATAATGGTTATTTTTAAATAAAATAAATTAAAAAAAATATTTTTTTAAAGATAATGAAGAAGATGGAGACGATAAACCAGAAGAATTTACTCCAAAAGATAATTTTCAACCAATTGTTCCATTGCCATCAAAAATTGAGACTAAAAGTGGGGAAGAAAATGAGGAGGTTTTCTTTAATTTTTAATTGAAGAAAAGTTAAATTTTCTTTTTTAGATTGTTTTTGAGGCTCGTTGCCGTCTATTTCGATTTGATAAAGCTGATAAAGAATATAAAACGAGGGGAACTGGCGATTTAAAGGTTTTTTTTAAAAAAATAAATTAAAACATTTAATTTTATTTTTAGATTTTATTTGATAAACAAAAAAATCGTTATCGTTGTGTTGCCCGCAACAGTGAAGGATTATCTAAATTATTTGCTAATTTTGTACTTTTTGCCAATTTTAAAGTTGAGAAAAAAGAAAAGCCAAATTGTTTAATTTGGAGATGCAAGGTTTGTTTTAAAATCCCCCGTTTTTCAAAGATTTTTTTGAAAACCAAAATTTTTAGGATTCTAGCGAAAATATCGAAGGGAGTGATGAAACTTTTTTGGCTAAATTTCGAGATGAAGAGACTGCTCAAAAATTTTCTAAGAAAGTGGAAGAAATTGTTTCTGGGTTGTCTTCTGCATAATTTAAATAGGGAATGTTTATTTTGCCGTTCTTATATGTTGTGAAAAAAATATATTGCTTGTTATTTTATGGATTTAAATAAATAGTTTGTTTTTGAATATTTTATTTACTGAAAAATTAAAAAAAAACGTAAAGTGGTATATTTAAAAGATTCTAAAAATATATTTCAAAATACACTCGATCTCACAATTTGACATCATTTGTGAAACAGTCTTGCATTAATGTCAGTTATCTTTTCGAACATTACAAGTTAGATCGCTTGTATTAGAAAATATGAAGTGATTTTTGAGATTATTTTACAAGAGAATATTAAATTATGTTGAGAGCATTAAATGAAATTAGGAAAATTTATAAATCCAAAAAATTTTATTGGAAGTTCTTGGAAATCACAATAATTTTCTGGCGAAAAAAACAGATTCTTTGTAAACACATTTGCGCTCTCAAAACAATTGAAAGTGAAACATATATTAGAGAGTAAAGAGATAACCGGTGATGTGCGTAAATTAAATTTTACAAAAATTGTCAAAATTACCTATAAAGTTTCAAGAAATTATAATTTGCCCTAAAATTTTTCGGCTCTACTCCAGTTTATGCGTCCAATCGACTTTTATGAGTCCAATTAAAGTTTATGCGTCCAATCGACTTTTATGCGTCCTGTGAAAGTTTATGCGTCCAATGAAAAGTTTACGCGTCCTATATAAGTTTATGCGTCCAATGAAAGTTTAGGCGTCCAATGAGAGTCCTTGCTTAAGGGCTATGTTTAATCCTCGTAATAATTATATATACATTATTGTAGACGAAGAAGACATCATGAATTAGCCTGAATCATTCGACTCAGCTCGAAAAGCTAAGTTTAATTTCACTCAAAAAACGAATTTTACACCCCAAAAAGTGCTTACCCCCCCTCCCCATGGTTTTCCGAATTTCAGGGACTTTAACTCGGCTCGTAGTTGAGTCCGCGGACTAATTTTGGTGTCATTCGACTCAGCTTGACTCGCTTTTCGATTGACATATAAATTGTTCAAATCTATAATCACTCGGTAAAGAGTACTTAGGCCATCTTTTTTGCTTAATAACCTCATTGGATCATAAACTTTCATTGGACGCATAAACTTTTAATTGGACGCATAAACTTTTAATTGGACGCATAAACTTTTAATTGGACGCATAAACTTTCATAGGACGCATAAACTTTCAATGGACTCATAAACTTTCATTGGACGCATAAAAGTCAATTGGACGCGTAAACTTTCATTGGACGCATAAAAGTCGATTGGACGCATAAACTGGAGTAGAGCCAATTTTTCTTCAAATCTTCAGTACAGGCGGGCAAATTCGAATTTTTAATAGGGTGTATTATAATTTCTTTAAGGATAGTTTTACTAGTTATCGAGAAAAGCGTAGGAAATGTCTTTTAAATTTTAATTAAAATTTTCAAACTTCCCACCATTTTAATTAATTTTTCCTTTCTTTAAATCATTTCTGATTCTTCCACAATATTATCATTTTGTTTTTGATGTTCTTTTTGTTGTTGTTCGCTTTGAATTCGTTGTTGTTGTAATTGAAATTCTTCAATTTCAGTCCAAATCATTTGACGCCATTGATCTTTTTAATTTTTTTAATTAAAAAAATTCTTTCTAAAATAATTACCAATACTCAAATCTTGTTCTATATCTACTTCTATATGAGAATCAGCAATAGGTTCATCATTTGGATCGTGATATTGTTTGAAATAGGGATGTTCCATAGCTTGTGCAGCTGTTGGCCTTTAAATATATGAAAAATAAAAAAATATTTACGAGTTTTTTAGTATTATCAATTTTAACAAACTTTTCGATTTGGGGGGCAGGGAAAAAAGACAAAAATTGGCAATATTTTCGAAATTTTTACACACAGTTAGGAATGTTCCCTTGTAAGACGACAAAACTTTCGAATCAAATTTAAGTCCATTCATGTAAGGATTAATCATTAGAGCCCAATGGCACGATGCTACCGCCGGTATTTATCGGTATCAGTATTTTTCAGTTTTTTGGGCATTTTATCGGTATTTTCGATATTACGGTACGGTACGAAATTCGGGGCTTAGGTCAAATAGAAAGCAATAGGTTTTAGACCATTCTATACTCGACAAAATAAAAATTACAAAATTTCCACTCAAGTTTGTAGTAAACCCCCATTAACAATTTCATATCAGGGATGGGTCGGGTCGACGATTGCGGGTTTGCGGGTTGAGATTTTTCTCATTTTCTTATATATGGAATTAATTTGAAAAAGTGTATATGGAGTAGGTTAAAAGGAACCCGGAGCCTTCGTTTTTGGTCCAATTTTCAAATAATTTTCTATTTGTATAGCGTCATGTTTGACAGACAAACTGCCAAGAATTGGACAAAAAATCTTACCTTCTGTTCAAAAAGCAGGCATAAAAAATTATAAAAATTTAACAAAAATTACTCCGTATACACTTTTTCAAATAATTTCAGATATAAGAATATGGGCAAAATTACAAACCCGCAAACCCGCAATCGTCGACCCGACCCATCCCTGTTTCATATTATATTTGATTCCTTACCTATAATCTGGATCTAAATTTAACGTTCTTTCAAGAAAATCAACAGCTTCAGGAGTTGCCGCTTGGAAAAAGGATTTAAAATTTTTTCTTTCAATTCTAGGCATATTTCTAATATAATTTCGAGCTTCTTCTGACGAAATTTTCTTTAAAAAAATTTCATAAAAATTTTATTTTTAATTTCTTTTACTTTTAAAAATTCTTCACTAGGAGTTCCACAAACAGACATTATACGTGTTAATTGGTCAATATCTAAAAAATATTTATTTTAAAAATTATGTATTAATTTTACGATCAGCTCCAGGAAATAATGTTTTTCCAGTTATCAATTCTGCCATAATACAACCAACAGACCAAATATCAACTTTAGAAAAAATTAAAATTATTTAATTAAAAATTTTTCTGTCAAAATTATAATCAATAATTAATAATATAAATCAAGCGCGTAGCCAGGAGGGCTGAAGCTCCCCCCTAAATCGACCTCCGGGATACGTCCTTGATAGCAATAGATATTTAAAAGGAAAAGCTTCTATAGGGGTGTATTCAGTGATAGACAAATGAAGCTACAACTCTCGCGTGAAATCTGGAAAAATTGATGGAAAGAGAATAATCAAAAATGAAAAATTTTCGCCCTAAAAAGGAGCTGTTTTACATCTTTCTAATAAAAAAACAATTTTTATAATTAGCCTAAAATACCCTAACATTTTTACATCAAAGGAATTTTCTAAAAATTCTTCCACTAAAAACAACAAATTACCAGTTTGTGTATAATGCATCCAATTTAACATAATTTCAGGTGCCCTATACCAACGTGTAGCCACATACCCAGTCATTTCTTGATCTGCTTGTCTAGCCAAACCAAAATCCAAAATCTTTAATTTAAAAAAATAATTATTTTTAATTTAAATTTAAAAAATACTTTTAATTCACAATCTTCATTTACAGCTATATTTGAGGGCTTTAAATCTCTGTGGATAATTCCTGCTGAATGAATATACTTTAAAAAAAGAATTAAAAATTTTTAAATAAAAATTTAAAAAAACTTTTAGGGCACGTAATATTTGATAAACCAAAAATTGAATGTGATCATCACTAAGTCGCTGAATCTTTAAAATATTTGAAAGGTCTGCACCCATTAAAATTGAAACAAAATAACTTTAAAAAATAAAAATAAATTAAAGTTTTTAAATTTAATTTTAAAGAAAATTTTTAAAAAATTGCAGAAAATAGTTAAAAGTAAAATAGTTTTAAAAATTCAAAATTTATAAGATTCAAGAAGGGTTTCTTGGGTTCAGGGGAATCGTATGAATCGTGGGAATCGTATGAATGGGAATCGTACCAGGAGGAATCGTAAGTATGAGTCTGTGATTATTTGAGTATATCAAAAAGTTTCTTGGGTCAGTCAATCTAAATCAGTGGACAGACATTCTAAATGAAGACAGGATTCCCCAACATGATTTAGCTTGACGGAAGAAAAAAATTTTTGTTACCCACAATTAAAAATCTCAAAATCACAGACACAAACTTACGATTCCCTCCTGATCGCGGCCTGGGTTCAGTCCAATCCTTGAGTAGAAATATTGGGAGACTACAAATGTTGAAAAATCGTTTCCTTTCCTTCAAAAATCGTTTCCTATATCCCTCCGAAAATTTTTTGTGGATAAGTCAAGTCATTCTATCCCTTCAATATCCCCCTTTAAAACCCCAATTTTTAAATAATTAAAAACCTACACATCCTCTAAAGTTTCAGCAGAATTATCAGGAGTAAACATATCATATAAATCAATAACATTTTCGTGTCTCATTAAACGTAAAAGTCTCAATTCCCTTTGTGTTCTTTTTGCATGGATTGGGCTTTGGAATGGACGAGTAAATTTTTTAATTGCAACTCGATCACCGGTAGTTATACATTCAGCAGAGCTTAAAAATTAAATTTTTTTGTAAAGGGGTTGCCTTTTTCGAGCCGGGCCGACGGTCGAGTCATTTTTTCGGGCTTCATTTTTATCGAGTCGGTTAGTACGAGTCTTTTTCGGGCCAAATTTCTTAGACACGACTCTATCTTTCGGTCCGAGTCGGTCCATTTTGGCCATTTACTTATAAAGGGGATAAAGTAAAAAATATGTTAAAATTAACCAAACAGCTCCATAAGCACCAGTCCCCACGGGAGTAACTTTAAAAAATATTTTATTTAAAAAAATCATTTATTAAATTTACGTTTTTGATAACATTCAGGAATAACCCAAACAGATTTGTTTAATTCAATTGTATAAAATCCTGGTTTAACATTTGATTTTACATTTTGTTTTTGTCGTTGATGGGGAGAAGGAAACATTCTTTATTATTAAATTATTTTAAAAAATAATTATTATTTGTTGCTATTTATTTTCATGAAAATCCCAAGTTGTCATTAAATAAAAATTTTTGTAAATCTGAAATTTAAAAAATTGAAAACTGGAGAAAAAATTAATACTCAAGGGAAATAAAAAATTTATTTAATGTAGGAAATCATAATTCACTTGACTGTTATATACTTTAAATATGCTTTCATATTTATTAAACAGTCAAGAAGCGTTAGATCCTTTGTCAGTAAAATCTGGCTGTACAAATTATTTTGGTACATTAAAAAATACTTTCCGACTTCATTTAGGGAAAGTACTGACATTTTCTGTACCAATCAGTTAAAGATCCTTTGCCTCCAAGGCTGTGAAATCTGTTAAGTTCAAAGCCAAGGATCCAGAATAAAGGCTTTAAAGCCTTCATTCAGAGTTGAAGATTAACACTAAATATTTAATAAGCTAGTGTTAATCCCCAAAACTTTCAACCATTTCTTAAGACATTAACAGATGCTTTAAGGCTTTATAAGGCCACACATTGCTTAAAAGTCTGTCCAAGCGTTCCTTTAAACATAAGAATCGATAGAATATTTTATTTGTATATTATTTAAAGTTGTTAATGCTTTCCTGCTCACCGCTGTAATACTTCTAAAAAACAAAAAAAAATGTATAAATTATTTAAAAAAGAAAAATATTTTTTTAAAATATTAATTTTTAAAAAACAAAATAATTTAAAATTAAAATATTTATTAAAATTTTGAGCAAAAAATCATTTAAAAAAATTAAAAACAATTATTATGGCAATTAAAAGGCAATTTAAAGCTATATAAAATTGAGCAGATTAACAATGTTAAGACTAGAAAAGAATATTGTATGTAAAACAAATTGAAAGGCAAAATATTTAATTAAAATTATTTTAAGGCTTAGCGTTTTTAAGGCTTCACAGGGAAGGAAAAAAGGATGCTTACTTGCTTATTAATTAAAAAATATTTTCTATAAAAAGAAATAAAGAAACCTAATTAAAATCGAATCTCAATTTTACATACCCAAATAAGGCTGGAAAGATTCCAACTCCAGTGTTTAAAAAATTGTTATTAAAAATTTTCAAATTAATTTTTAAAAATTCCAAACTTACAAGGAAACATATCCAAATGTATGTGACTTTTCGAAATGGGGGGGGGGGCATGGCCAAAAAAGAAAAAGTTGACAATAGAACTTGCTCTATAAGATGGTACAAAAATATATACAAAATTTTCACATATAGTTTGAAATGTTTCCTTGTCCGTATTTATTTTAAATAAGGATGTAAAATTGAGTTTCGGCCAAACTTTTAAAAAATTATTAATTTTTTGTAACCGTAACTCCAGTTAAACTTCTCTTCCTTTGCCTATGTGCTGCAAATAAAGCAGCCTCTTCTTCACTAGAAGATCTTCGACGGGAAAGTCTTTTTTGATGTTTTTGACTGGCAAAAGCTATAGCACTAGATATACTGACAGTTGAACTATTTCTTTTACGTTTCGTTGGAGATTGTTGTTTGAAATGAATATGATGTTGTTGTTGAGCTTCTGTTTGTAAAAGATCGGCAAAAGACGGAGAACTTGAAACAAGAATTAAAAGAAAAAAAACAATTTAAAATTTACCTATGCATAGATACAGCACGAAGGGTATTATAAGGAGAAGCAACAAATGAAGGGGAAGGCTGTCCCTGTAATGAAAGAGTAGAATGGCCATGAACACTTAAAAAGAATTATTTTAAAATTTTTTTTTAATAATTAAACAGACGTTTATGGAAGGGAAAGGAATTCTAAAATAGACTAACCTAAAAATGGAGCCTATTTCTCAAAAATTTTTGCCTCAAAAAAAAATAAAAAAGAAACATACACAGGTGGAAACAATTTCATTTCTTTATTTGGATCAACCAAATAAGTTCGAGCATTTGGGTTCTCCATAATAGGTTGAACTGGCGGGGGCATTGGTTGATAAGGATTTACTTCATAAACAGCTCGAGGTTGCTATAAAATTTAATAACCATTTAATCCTCTTTTCTTTGTAAAACCTGATAATGAGTTGTGTAAACAGTCACAGAAGCAGGTTGGTCCCCATGATGGTGATGGCGAAGTTTATCACTCAAAAACTTGAAAAAAATGAATTATAAAAATTTTTTAAAAAATAATTTTATTTAAAATTTTTTGGAAGGTCAGAAAATATTTAAATTTTAATAAAATCATAACTATTCATAGAGATTCCCACTAAATATTTAAATTGGTCATCACTCCTTCCAAATCTACTACAAAACAAAATATTTACCCACTTAACCACAAATACATTAAGTGAGAATTGAATAAATAAACTATTACTCTTGGATTTTCTGATCAGTAAAAATTCTGAACTAAAGCGAGGTAAGCATTCAAAAAGGTAAAGGAATTCTAAAATAAATTATCTTTAAAAATGGAGCACTATTACACAAAAATCTGGATGTTAAATTTTGTTACAAATTTAACAAAATTTACAAATTTAACAAATAATTTTTTAACAAATGTTAAATTTTGTTACAAAAATTTTCAAAAGCTTACCCCACCGGTCTGAAATCGAACCTGCGACCTTTCGTGAAAATTACTATTATACATTAGAAGTTAAAAGAATTAATGGATCCTTCCTCCCTTGTGTTAATTCTTGATTTATGATCATTCTTTAAGCAACAAGAAAAATAAGGAAAAATACCTGTGAAGTAGTAATTGATGCAAAAATAGCAATCAAAACCAATAAAATTCCCAAAGCCAACAAAATAGGCCCGGCTATCTGAACTGGAGGAATCATATTATTCATAGCCTCTTCTTCTGTCCAACGCCAAAAAGGTTGTTGATAAATCAGAAAATACCCCAAATAGACCATCATAGCCCCTCCAAGCATAAAAAACATTCCAAATGCCCAAACACAAATTACAGCAGAACTGCCCCGATATTTACTTTAAAAACTAATTATTTAAATTTTAAAAACAAACAAACTTTGTTCTATAAGGGAAAAATCCAAAATGTGCCGGATAGAGTAAATCCCATCCTTTTGGATAAAAATAGAAAAAAGGGTCTCTTTGCGCCATAGGGCCAAAATGTATAACCCTTTGATTGCCAGTCCATTGCATTGGGTCTAATTCTGTTGGCCCTGTTTGAATTAAATCATCCCTTTTGTGTTGCTGCATTTGATGGAATCTGTCTTTAAAAATTAAAAAATAATTTTACAAAAATTAAAAATAAAATACTATGAGGACGCCGTTTCCGTTTTGCAATACTTCTATCAGAAGCAGTAGAAAAAAGCATGTGGGTACGAGTTTTGTCGTGAACATTGACAGATTGGAATCCTCTTCGTCTAGGCAACTAAATTATAAAAATATAAAGAATAATTATACATTAGATAAGTTCTAACCATTTTTTCATCAAATGCAGAAACTGAAAATAAAAAAAAATACAAATAAAAATTCCTAGCAAAAAGCAAAGGGTACAGCCCAAGTAGGCGCGCGGCCATACGACGCAAAGCCAGAACTTGCTTTAAAATTTCCAAACCTTAACAAATTTAGTAATACACGATTCCACTCATCGAGCTAAAGAGAATGGTACCAAAATTGATAGGGGCCAGAAATTTTCCAGCAAGTTATGGCTGTGCGCCGTTATGGCCGCGCGCCTAGTTGGGCGTGCCCCACAAGAACACACTGAAATAAGTGGTTTCGAACCGTCCGAAATCCAGAAAAAATCAAGATATTTCAGTGCGGTGAACAGAGAGCGGATAAGAAGCGTTTTTAAAATTCTTTATCTTTACCCTTCTTTTCTTTTAAAATTTGTCTTTCAAAATTTCTTTAAATTTAGCTCAATTAAAAAAATTTTATATAAAATGGAACATTCACAAAATTTAGACGAGGTAAATAATTTAATTTTCTCCTTTTTTAAAAATTTTTTAGGAAACTCAAATAGCAAATGTTGAATTGAGACAGCGTTTTCTTCGTTTTCTTAAATGGTTGCCTAATAAAAATGTTGAAGCAAAAATGTTTGGGGCTAATTTAAATGGAATTTTAACTGCTGTTGATGCTTCTAATTTTGAGTTAAATTTAAATTTCTTTAGGATTTTCTTATCAAAAAAATTTTTTTCTAGTCATTTTCTACTTAATAAATTACACACTCCAACTGGTTTAGTTGAACATGCAGCTTTACGAACTCGGGATACAATTTATTTAAAAATTGATTTGCCAAACAATAAAAAGAATAATTTGGATGATGTTAAAATGGAAGTTGTGCAACCTCAAAAGAATGAAAATAAAGAAGTTAATTGTCAAGTGGAAAATAAGGTTATTATTTAAAATATAAAAGTTAAAAATATGTTTTTAGTTAAAAATCTATCCATCGGTTTCTATTTATTAGAGAGCGAGATTTTCAAAAAACCTCGACCTTGAGTCAAGGAAAAATCAAGGAACTCCAAAAAGTGCCTTGATCTGGACTCTGGATCCAGGAAAAATCAATGTCTGGATCCAGATCCAGATCGCTCTCTACTATTTATTTTCTGTCAATAATCAAAATAATAAGTTAATTGTTGAAACTAAAATTTTTGCCAAAAAATTTTCAAATATTTTCTAAAATTCCATAAATATTCCCAGATTACTCCAAAAGAAACTTCTATTAAGCCAGAAGCTAAAAATTCTGAAGAAAATAATGCTGAAGAGATTACTGAAATGGAGGTTACTACTTCAACGAGTGAATTTTCTACTCCATTAGGTAGCACAAAAAGTGAGGGGCAGAAGAAAAAACAGATGAGTGTGGCTGAAAGGATGACACGTTCTACGGCATATTATCTTGAACGAATTAAAAATTAAATAAATTTTTTTGAAAATATATATTTTTTGAACAATTGGTGATTTTAAAAATAAACTTTAAAAAAATACCTAATTGTGAAAATTTTTCAAAAAATCTGAAGATAAGAATTATGGGCATTTTATAAAAAATTAACAATTTGGGCATTTAAAAAATTAGAGACAATAAATGAATAAATTAAATACACGAATACGACGATTAAAAAAATAAAATTAAGAATAAATGGTCAAGTAGTGCAAACATAACTCGGAAAAAACCCTAAAAAATGAATTTCTGTCCTTCCTCTGCAGTAAAAAATAAAATAGACATTTTTATAGAGTTATAGAGGTTAGCACTTTAGTTTAAAGTCAAAAGAATTAAAAAACATTATAAAAATAAATTAGAAAATTGTGTCAAAAACTTCCAGGGAAACTTAATATCGGAGCTAGTTTTCCAATCTCATTAACCTGAATGGTTACTTGGTAGATTGCATACTTCTTTCGCCCGCTGTAGTCAATCCGTTCTGCTAAACGATGGAAGGTAGCAACATTCCGCACTCCTGGCCTGCACATTTCACGACAAATTCCATCCCACAAAGCTCTCTAAATTAAAAAAATTAATAAAAATATTAAATTTTAAAATCCAACCTCATTCTCTGTCTTCATATTAAAACCACCAAATACTCCATAAACACAAGTCTGGCGAATTCCGACCAGATGGCGAGGAATTTGATATAGGTTGCGGAGTTCAACAAGTCCAATCCAGGGAAAATCAGCATCTTGGACCTTGAATTTAGAAGATCAGGGAAATGAGAAATTGATTCAAAAAAAGCAGCAAGAGAAGAAATGATTTTAAGATGGCTATTAAGGGTGGGGGCTAACTCAAGGAACAGACAAATCAAGGAACGACAAGTCAAGGAAAAGACAAGTTATTATGTCCTAGGACAAACAGAATAACACAGGAATAGAATATAACGTTTATCCGAATGGCAAATACAATAATAGTGAAGGTGGCAAAAGGCAAGAATGATGAAGGACAGACGGCGCCGGTCGACCCAGGTGTCGACCCAGACTGATCTCTAACGACTCCTTTTATACTAGACCCACACATACCTAACACAAGTTCTAATCTGTTTTTAAATTCTTTCGAGAAATATTCAGATTTTTCAAGAAATTTCGATTTTAAAATATTCCTTGAGTTGGTCATTCCTTGACCTGTCTTTTCCTTGACTTGTCTATTCCTTGTTTTGTCGTTCCTTGACTTGTCCGTTCCTTGAGTTAGCCCGACACGGCTAATAATAAGGAAAAATCGGTTTCATAAATTCCCAAATTCCTTACTAGCTCAAAAATAACTTATTAAAAAAATTCCCAACCATAGCTAGTCCGTTGCTTTGTCCAGTAATTATTCCACGCCTAAATTCCCTCATTCCATTTTCAGAAAAATGGGCATATAAACAACAGCAACCCTCAAAAGTTTCATTTTGGTGCAGTCTTCTTGCCTTCTCATCTGCAGGTTTTAATTTTTTAATTTCATCGTAGTATTGCCTAAAATTAAATAAATTGGGTCCAAAAACTCTAAAAACCTCAATTCACTCATTACAAATTGAAAATCATCATTTAATTCAAGAAGTTGAAGTCCAACGCCATCAGTTGGCAATTTGCTGACCTGAACATGCACTACATTAGGTTTTGTTAAAATATCCGATGGGATAGGATACCGAGGAAGAGTTGACAGTATCTATGAGGGAAGGAAATTATAAATTTATAAAGAAAAAATAAGAACCTCCTTCATATATTTACGCTCCTGCGAAGGCTTTTGATGGTGTAGGACATGTCGTTTAATCCAAATCTGGCCATTTTCTGAGTCTAAAAAATTCGAAATTAAATTCTTAAATAAAAAGTCAAAAAACCAGGCATTAATTTGAAAACATCATCCCAATACAGATGGAGAAAGCCAGCGAATTTTATTGGCTCCAAATGCGGCGTAGGCGTACAAGGCAGCTTTCCTCTTACTTCATTATATTCTTTTGTAGTTTTTAACATATTCATCTTAAAAATTACAATTAAAAATAACCAAAAATTTTAAAAAACTAACGACATCTGTCAATAACATTCTTTTTTGTTCTGGGATAATTTCGAAAACTTTGTCTGCTATTTTTAAATTTTTGTAAATTTCCGCATTGATTTGTGGAGCCGAACTGACCTTAAAAATTAAAAATAATATCTCCACTTTCAATCCCCTCCCCTAAAACATACAAAAATATTTTTTTCTTCGCTGGATTCATCGATTGTAAGTGAGATTATGTCCGGTTCTTGCAATATAAACATTCGGCCACAATAACGGAACACTTCAAATTCATAACCTTCTGGCATTAATCGAGTGCAGAATAAATCCCTCAACTAAAAAATTATTTTTAAAAAATTGTAAGAAAAAGCATACAAATCTTGGTGTTAAATATTCTCCATAATTTTTAAAGTAAAGTTTGTTGAGTGTATTAAAAGTAAATTTGCCATTTTCTTTCTCGTTGAAAAGACTGACTAGTTTGTTAAGATTTTCCTAAAAATTAAAGTTGAAATGAAAAATTTTAATTAAATCAACTGACTCGTCTAACTTGATCGAATGGGTGCTTTGAAAAAAGAAATTCCCAAAAAGCATCATTGCGTAGCTTGGAGAAGTCGTGCTTGCTGTATTTATTAGCAAACATTTAGAAATAATTTTATTTACCTATAAAAAATGAGGAAAACAAATGCAGAATTTACATTTAAATAGGAAAAGGAGCTTATCAAAAAATATAATCGTTATTTGCTTCGGGTTAAATGAGAAAAATTGGAAAAGCATTTATAGGAAAGAAGGCAAGTATTAGTTAAAATATTGCAAACACGTTTGTCAGAGCAGAACTTTTTGGTATTAGGGACCTAAACGCATTCCAATGAACAGAAGACCAACACATCTGTTGAAGATGTTAACTTCCATTCAACCTTTTTTAAATAGTATAATAATCCCCTTTACTATTCAATATGCATTCTGAGAACTTAGTGTAAGGCAAAGAATAAAACAGTAATACTACTATCACAGTAGAATTCAAACTCGTAACTGTTTTAATGAATTTAGGTAGAAAATTTTATAAATTAAAAAATATTTCAAAAAATAAATTAATTCTTTTTGATTAATAAAATTAATTTTTAAACAATTTTAACAATAAATGAGGAAATGAAAAGAATAATAGAAATAATAAATAAAGTAATATTATCTTAAAAGAATATTTAAAATATTTTTTAAATTCATTTAAATATATTACAAATAAAAGTTAAGAATCTTTTTCTTTTACTCTTTAGCATTAACTAAATCACAAACAATTTCACAAATATCTAAACCAGTTTGTATATTATCATATTCACTAAGAGGTAATTGAACATCAAATTCATTACAAATTTCATCAAATAACTTAAAAAAATTCAGAAAAATATCGGTACTTTATTAATATCCCCCCACACCCATCCTTATTTGAGTCTCTGATTAATTTTCCCTTTTTACTGTCAATTAGGGTTTCGCCGGAAGTTCCGGTTCCGGTTCCGGGTTCCGGAAGTTCCGGTGTTTTTTTGGTTCCGGTTCCGGTTCCGGGAACCGGAACTCAAATTGGTTCCGGTTCCGGTTCCGGCTCCGGTTTACAAATCGGTTCCGGCCAAACCGGAACTTTTTTACACCCCTAAGGATTGGTTTTTTTTAAAAATTAATGAACTACTCGTACTCGCGTACTTGGTATTAAAAGAAAAATCGAAAAAAATATGTTTAATTTCTTTCGTCCCCCCTCATATGACCGGGTGGCCCAGTGGTTAAGGGGTTAGACTTCACCCAAAGCATTGATGATTTAAAGATGGGTTCTATGCCTTGTCAGAGAATAAAGAATTTTCTTATTTTTCTTTCCATAATTAATTTATTTTATGAGTTTAATCTTGTTTTAAAAATTATATTCTATTTTTACATTGAGGAATTAGGGCCTTTTGCTCTCCAAAATTTATAAAATTCCTTGTTCGACAAAGAAGAATGGTTAATTTTTTTGCCCAAGGCCTTCTGAAATTTTAAAAAATTTCGCCTGCGGCGCTGAAAAAAGAAATCTGGTAGCTTATTTTTCTAGATTTCTTTAAAATTTTCGCCAGCGACCCTAAAAAAGAAAGTAGTATGTTATATCGGAGGATTTGGATGGATTAAGGTGGATTTTGTTCTATATCGTACCCCTCCTTATTCCACTGATATGCCTAAAATCACCCTTACAATTCCGAACCTTTATATATCCCGTTATCAAACACGTATATCCGACAAATACCACTTAATCGCTGACAAATTTTCGGTTCTGTTTCGGATAACCGAAAAATTTGGTGAAATCGACAACCCTGCTTAAAATAAAAATTTTTAAAAATTTTCTAGCAAAATTTTTAAAGTTCCGGTTCCGGTTCCGGTTCCGGGAACCGGAACTCAAATTGGTTCCGGTTCCGGTTCCGGTCAAAATTTCGGTTCCGGCGAAACCCTACTGTCAATCATTCTTTCCCCCACAAATTTTAAATGACAATTTAGGCCTCCTTTCTAATTTCTCCTTCTAACTTGCCATTTACTTATAACGTGTGACGGAAAGAATGAAAGGGATGGGGGATATTAATAAATTACCAAAATATCTAACCTTCCTTTTTGAATTATTAATTCCCAGAGATGTAAACCATGCATTAAGACCCTTTTCTTTAATTAATTCTTGATTTATTGAAGGTTGTCTTTTAATTATTTCTAATATTTTTTGTTTAATTTCTTCACGATTTAATTGTTTCTTTAAAAAAAATTAAGAAAAAAATTATTTTAAAATTAAAAAAACCTTGAATTTAAATCCATATAATTCCTCAAATAAATTGTCATCAAATTCTTTTTTTGTTTTTATATTTCTCACATTTTTTAAAGAAATGTTTCTATTGAAAAGTAAATTTTTTGAATTAAAGAGAAGTGAACAAGCCCTTCTATTTTGAATTTTTGAAACAGAAAAAAATATTTTTAAGAGAGAAAGTGACATTTAATAGCTAAAAGAAAAATTTTTTAGATTAGAGAAATTAAATTTTTTGAGGAATTTAAATGAAGAATAGCTTCAATTTCGAATTAAAAAATTTTTTAAATTTATTCTACGTTTGGGTGGGGGCTAACTCGAGGAATTCCAACTCACGGAGCAGACAAGTCGCGGAACGACAAGCCACGGGATTATCAACTCAAGGAATGACCAAAACACGGAATATTTTAAAAATCAGAATATTTTTAGAAATAATAGATTTACAGAATTTTTTAAAATTCTGTTTTTAAAAATATTCAGATTTTTCCAAAAATTCCGATTTTTAAATTATAACGTAACTTGTCCGTTCCGTGACTTGTCCGCCTTGAATTAGCCCGACACGTCTACTTTTATTTAATTTGCTTGTTCAATTTTTGATTTTTCCCTTTCCTCCTCCGCTTCCTTTTTCTGTTCTGCTTTCCTTTGTCTAATAGTTTTTCTAACATTTGGAATAAATAATTCATTACAAATATGACTGTGGACATCTCGAAGGGTTGTAAAATCCAAAAAGTGTCCATTGTGCATATCCACGTCCAATTCGGTTTCAACAAAATCCAAAAACTAAATATCAATTTTTCTTTAAATTTCAGAAAAATTTTTTAAAATAACCTCATCAATATCAGCTATTTTAATCCCCATATCCCAATGCATTTGTGAACCAAGATTAAACAAAAAATCCCTCCGTTTATCAAATTTATATAAAATAGCAATTAATCGTTCTTCTACTTCTTTTGATGTTTTTGGCTTTTCTTTCTAGAAAAAAAATTTTTTTGAATTAGAAAAAAATTTACCTTAAAGTTAAATCCAAAAGTATTTTCAAATGCTGAATTGTCAAATTCATCTCCAATTTTATTTCTTTGATTTGATAATGAAAATGTTCTGATTAGATGAATTTTTGGATATTTTAATTTATTAATGAAATTACGTGAAATTATTGCATATGAAAAAAAAATCATCTAAAAAATGTAAAGCTTTTTTAAAAAAAACCCTGAATTAAAAAACCCTCCGGAAACCCTCGTAAAGCAGGTTAAAATAAATTGAAAATTGACCTGCAGGGCGACAAAATCTGGGATTTCCGATCCGTTCTCCAAAAAACCGAAGAAGTGACAAAATTCGCTGGAGACTGAAAGGCTTGAAAATAAAAATGTCGGACTGAAATGAACTGTTAAGTTCAATTGGGTAGGGGACGATTCAGTATCGCCGATTCAGTATTGGCCGATTCAGTATTGGGGTTTTTTGGCCATAACTTTTTGCTCGATCAATATTGTAGGAATTATTATATATGATTTGATAGGCCTCGGGGTGCTGCATCTTTTTCATAATTGGACTGACCTGATCTTATCATTCTACAAAAAGTTATCACTGATAAACGATGTCACAGGCAAAAAATATCGGTTTTCACGCTGTAACTTTTTTTGTGATCATCAGATCTGATCGGGCCAATTATGAAAAAGATGTCGAATCACGAGACCTTTCGAATGATATGAAAATTATTCGAATCGGACGAATATCAGGAAAGTTATAGCCATATACTGAATCGGCGGATACTGAATCGGCTATACTGAATCGGCGATACTGAATCGTCCTTAACCGGTTCAATTTGATAGAGTAACATTTAGTCACTTTACTTCGTCACAGCATAAAAAAATAAAAAATTGATCTTTTGGGTTGTACCTATCAGCGTTAACATTTCTATTTTCTGTCAGTTCCAAAATTGATGACTTTTAAAATTTTCTATTTTTTAATCTCAGGGTTGAATTTACGGTACTAATGTCATTTCCAGCTCTTGTTCATTTTTTTCTTGATGCACATAATTAGGGTTGGGGCCGGAAAAAACCCTCCAACCGATCGAATCGGGGGGGGGGGCATCGTTTCCCCAGATCGAATCGGGCATAGAATTCTAGCCCGAAAAGACTCGATCGGTCCTTCCGCTAGCCAAATCCATTAGAAATAATTTTTGCATCAAGAAAATGGACAAGGGCGAGAAACAACATCAGTACCAAATTCACTTAGAGTGGCGAAAAGAGGATAGGTCAGACGCACAAATTTTCCCTTCATCAAGATGTAACTGGTCCCGCAAAAAATGTGGATGAAGTGTGGATTGATATTTTGATAAATGTGGGTTGATATTTTTGAGGTTTGTAATCGAGTGTGCTGAGTCCGAATCTGAGCTTAGAATTTGTTTATTTCGAACCGGGTTAAATTCGAAAGGCGCGCCGAAATTTGCGGATTTTAATTTGCGGACCCGAAATTTGCGGACCCGAACTTTGCGGACCCGAATTTTGCGGACCCGAACTATGCGGACACGAATTTTGCGGATCCGAGATTTGCGGACTAAAAATTTGCGGACCGACAATAGAGTCTACTGAACCTCGGAAATTTCAGAAATTTTAGCCTGCGGCGTTAATTGGATAAATTCAGGCATCATGGTCTTATGAAATGGCCATATAAATGATTTCTTTAAGGAATTTTGTCGATTATTTAAACTATGAAATGATTTTAAGATAAAAAATTGATAAAAAATTTTGAAAAATCAAGAAAAAATCTTGAATCAGGTATGGATCATGTTAAAGTCTGCCGAAATCCTCGAAAAATAAAATTTTTAATTTTTCCTTTTTACTCAAGTGTCGGTCCTAGAATCTTGGTTCCGCAAAGATCAGGTCCGCAAACTTCGTGTCCGCAACCTTCGGGTCCGCAACTTTCGTTCCGCAAATTTCGGGTCTGCAAAGTTCGGGTCCGCAAAATTCGGGTCCGCAAAGTTCGCGCCACGATTCGAAATTAAAAATTTAGGGCTAATTTGACACCCCTATTCGAGCTGAGTCGAATGGTATCAAAATTATTCTTTACTCTTATTAAAATCGTTCGAAATAAGCAAATTCTAAGCTCAGATTCAGATGTCAGCACACTCGATTACCTACTGGCATGCCTCAAAAATGTCTAACTAGCACTTTTTCCTCATCTTTTTTTAGGGACCTGTAATCTTTTCATTTACCAAATAATATAGTAGTTATTTTCTTGAAGGCGAACACTCCAACAAATTTGATGAATGTAAAATTTGTGCGTCTGGCTCTATCTGTTTTTCCGACAATGTATAATAAAAAATTTAAGATGGACAAGTATCAAAATATCCAACAAAAAGTCTGTCTTGTAGTTATTGATGGATGGGGCCTTTCCGATGAAAAACATGGGAATGCAATTGCTAAAGCTAACACGCCTATTATGGACAAACTTTGTTCTGGAAATTGGCAAAAATTGGAAGCACACGGTCTTCATGTTGGATTGCCAGAAGGCTTAATGGGGAATTCTGAAGTTGGACATTTGAATATTGGAGCTGGAAGAGTTATTTATCAAGTAAATGTTTTATTTTCTTCTAATAATTATTAAAAATTTGAGGATATTGTTCGAATTAATCTGGCTGTTCAACGAAACGAGTTTGTCACAAATCCTCAGATTGTTGCATCAGCTGAGCGTGCAAAGAAGGGGAGTGGTCGATTGCATTTATTAGGACTGGTTTGCTCAAACTTGATTCAAAACTTCCCACATTTTTTAGGTTAGCGATGGTGGTGTGCACTCTCATATTGACCATCTTTTTGCATTGATACGTGCATTTAAACAATTACAAGTGCCAAAGGTTTTTATTCACTTTTTTGCTGATGGTCGAGATACGTCGCCAACAAGTGGAGGTTTGGAAATATTTTTTGCAAAAAGATATTATTTTTAACACTAGCTGGTTATCTTGAACAACTTCTTCAATTTATCTCTTCGGAAAAGTATGGAGAATTGGCTACTATTACTGGGCGTTATTATGCAATGGATAGGGACAAAAGATGGGAGCGTATTAAGGTTATATAACTGAAATTTTTTGTATTATTCTTTCTTTTCTAGATGGCTTATGAGGCAATTATTGGAGGTATTGGACAAAAAGCCACTGTGGATAGAGCTGTCGATGTTGTTAGAGAGCGATATGCTCAATCGGAGACTGACGAATTTCTTAAACCAATTGTTTTTTCTGACGACGGGCGAGTGAAAGGTTGTTTTAAAAATATTTATTTTTCTAGAACAACTTTTTTAGACGACGATACTCTTATTTTCTTCAATTATCGTGCTGATCGTATGCGTCAAATTTGTGAATGTTTGGGTCTTGAACGTTATAAGGATCTTAATAGTTCGGTTCCTCACCCGAAAAATATTCAAATTAGTGGGATGACCCAATACAACAAAGAGGTTTGCTTTAGAAATCTTTAATATTTTTTGATAATTTTGTTTTTAAGTTTCCATTTCCATCGTTATTCCCTCCTGTGACTCATACTAATGTGCTTGCTGAATGGCTTGCTTCTCAAGGAGTTACTCAATTTCATTGTGCGGGTAATTAACTTTGGGTACAGCCCAAGTAGGCGCAAAGCCATAACTTGCTTCAAGATTTCCAAATTTTAACAAATTTACTATTAAACGATTCCTCTTAACGAGCTAAAGAGATTAATACGAAAATTGATAAGGATCAGAAATTTTCAAGGTAGTTATGGCTTTGCGCCTACATGGCCTCGCGCCTACCTGGGCGTGTCCCATTAACTTTATATAATATTGTAACTGATCATTGTAATTTATCTCTCTTTAGAAACTGAAAAGTATCCTCATGTTACCTTCTTCTTTAATGGTGGGCGAGAAGTCCAGGTATTTGTTAACTTTTATTAGTTTAATAATTTGTTGCTTGTTCAGTTCCAAGATGAAGAGCGTTGTATGGTTCCATCACCAAAAGAAGTTGCTACATATGATTTAAAACCAGAAATGAATGCTGCTGGAGTTGCTGAAAAGGTTTTAAATTTACAAGTGAAATTAATTTATTTTTATTTTTAAGATGGTCGAGCAAATTGAGTCAGGCAGGCATCCGTTTGTTATGTGTAATTTTGCGCCTCCTGACATGGTTGGGCATACTGGTAAATTTGAACCTGCCATCAGAGCATGCGAAGCTACTGGCTAGTTTATTCCTTCCAGGATTTCTTTTTATAATTTTAAATTTAGATGAGGCAATTGGAAGGATTTACGAAGCATGTCAAGCTTACAATTATGTTCTTATGGTTACTTCCGATCATGGAAATGCTGAGAAGATGATTGCTCCCGATGGTAGTGAACATACTGCACATACCTGCAATTTGGGTTTGTTTTTTGTTTAAATTTTTTTATTTTTTAAATTCATTATGATTTTTAGTCCCATTCACTTGCTCTTCCAAAAAATTTGTTTTTAAATCGGCTCCACCTACTGGTGATGATGGCAAAGAACGTGCACGAGCCTTACGTGATGTTGCACCAACTGTTTTGCAATTGATGGGCTTACCTGTACCGCCAGAGATGGATGGAGTTCCGTTACTTGAACAGAGAGGATAGGAAGTTAATTGATAAATAGGAAATAAATATGAGCTGCTCTTATAAGCAATTTTAAACACTAGTAAAACGAGTATTTGATTTAGAAATCTCTGTTATAAATTAGTCATGAAAATTTCTTTTTTTAGTTGTTCTTTCTATAGATGTTTTAGTTCTGGTCGTTTCTTTGATAAATGTTGAGATATTTTGTTTGAATATTAAAAAATGTTTTTATCATCATTTATTTTACAATTTTAATACATTTTTAATATCTGACAGATTTACTTAAAAGAAAATGGGAACACATTTCTTGATTGGTCTTCGTACTGACAATTTTGTTATTCTTGCCGCGGACAGAAATATGTACATGTATGGCGCTCTTAAACTTTCAAAAGGTTTTTCGCTTCTTTTAAATGAGAGTCTAAATTTTTTAGAATACGAACGTGATTACAAGCTTGGAAAACGTCTTTATATGATTTGTGGAGGGGAGCCTGGAGATATGGATTCTTTTGCAACTTGGGCGAAGGCTAACATTGATCTTTACGAACGTCGGAATGGTTTGATGTATTTCTCTTTTATTTTAAAGTTTTTTAAAAAAGGTTATGAAATGCGTCCTCATGCTGTGCAGCATTGGTTGCGAAAGTCTATGGCTGAAAATTTACGTTCTGAGGATATGTGGCGTGTAAATTGCATTATTGGTGGTTATGATTTACTTGACAAAACAACTTTTATGAGTATGATGGATCATTATGCGACTAATTTGCCATGCCAGGTTTTAATAATAAAATTCTGTACATAATTAAATATTAATTTAGGATTACATATTTTCTGGCTTTCCTGGCAATTTTGGATACGCGATTATGGACAACCTTTACAAACCGGGTATTTTCTCTATTTTCTATACATTACTAACCTTCATATTGTTTTTCAATTCCAATAGATATGACAGAAGAGGAAGGACTTGATGCTGTAAAGAAATGCATTGATCAATCTGCTAAACGTTCAATCATTCATTTGACTGGTTTTCGTGTAATTGTTATTAATGCTGAAGGTTCAAAAGTTATTGAAGGGTTTAAACCGGAGATCTAAACAGAATTCGTTTTGTTGTTATTTTGAGTTTGCTTCTATTTAAATAAATTTTGATAAATTGTACATATATTTTGACATATTGCATTATTTAATGTTGTTTTCAATACATTTTTTTGTACTTTTTCTTTTTCTAAAATGTCCTAAATTTATTCAGTTAAAAATAATTTCAAATAATAATGGGAGATAATGATAATTCATTTAATCATTCGACTGCCGATAGTGAACAACACCCTCAACATTTAGAAAATCAAGTTTCGGTACCTGATGATATTCCTCTTCCAGTTCCTCCACTTGCTGAGATAACAGAAGAAAACCAAGCTTGGATGAAAGCTCAAGAAGCACTGCGTTCTATTGGGTCTAAAAATACCTATAGTGCGCAGCAAGACGCTTATGCTTCTGCTTTTCCACGAAATTATGGCTGGCCACCCCAAATGGGAGGATCAACAATGTATTCTACAGGTGTCTACACGTCTCCTTTCGCAGGTGCTACTGGTTTCAATCCTTACTACCAATACCAACAAAACAGCCGATTTCCGGTACAATCGAGTGCATCTTATAGGCCTATGACTTCATCTAATATTGATCCATCAAGTTTGGTACCAGTCCCAGTGAATGCTCAACCACTTCCGCCGCACATCGCTTCAGGTTTAAATTGTGTTTACTAGGAATTTTAAGTTATTTCAAACTGATTGTGTTTTTATATTTCCTTTAAAGGTTTGCAGCAAAGTCCTCGCCCATTTAAACCTATCAGATTTATGCTTAATCCTGGTGGTATTACTGTCTCCCCATCAAGGCCGCCTACACCTCAACAATTTCAAACGCAAAAATTTCTTGGATCAACTGGTGTAAATGCATATCCGAATGATTTGAAGTTGGTTTTTATGATAATGTGTTAATATTAAACCTTCCCTTACAGAAATTATATTGAACGTGCTTACCAGGCTATTGAAGGCAAAGAAGATCGTGAAAAGCTAGAAGGGTATTTAAAGTTACGCGTTGAGCCTTTGTTAAAATCTGGCGCTGTTTATGCCGTGAATTGGGTTAATTTTATTTAGGATATTTATTGTTTCAGTCTTTTTATTTAACTAATATGATCTTTAAAGTTTATAGCAAATTTCGCCCGTTTTAGGCTGCCGAACCCTTACCCCACGAATTGGGCTTTAAATTAAAAACTAGTTGGACCCCAAGTTGTACTCTAAAGAATCAACAGCAAAAACCAGTGCAATCTACTGGAAGCAAAGCCCCAGAAGGATCTTGGAGGAAAGAGACTCCGCAGATTACCCGAAGGTTTAATTTTCTTAAATATACGGGCTCTATCTCTATTACAATATTTAATAAAACGTGTTTTCCACTAAAATGTAACCGATACAAGTACCTTTTTTCTAGATTAGACCCTTATTTTGCCTTGCACCATTATGATTTACGTAATCATATCCAACCTTTCAGTCCTGCTTTGAATGGACAAACTGTGCAAGTGACTATGAATACCAATGCTGGTTTATATGCGCCGCCCGGTTCCGGTACTTCCTTCTTATCATCGTCAGTTGCTTCTTTTCATTCTGTCCCTGTTCATGATCACTTACCTTCCCTCTCAAAACGTAGCAGAAGTCGTTCTCCTCTTCGAGACTTTGATCAACGAAGTATTCAAAGTGTCCAAACTGTCTCTTCCTCTTCAACTACTACAGTCGAAATGAAGCCATTGACTGTAAAGCAAGGACCTCGAGCCGCAGCTTTTGGTGCTCAAATGGATTACAAATGGGAGAACTCTCAGCAACAAAAATATCAACAATTGGATGATCCAAAAAATGTATTTTTTAAAAATATGTCTTTAAAATTTTTTATATTTCTATAGACAATGAGCAAAAAAGAAAGAAAAAAGTTGAAAAAACTTCAAAAGTTTCAAGAAAAACATCAGCGTTTGGAAATGGAGGCCTCAAAAAATCAGCCAACATCTACCTCCAACAACGCTTTTACTTCATTTACTCCAATTGAAGTTTCTCCACAAAAGTGGCAGGTTCAGAAATAATTTTTGTTTAAAATTTTTTAATTAAAATTCCTCTATAGATTGATATGCCAAGTGAACGTAAAATGGAGCGAGCAAGACGTTTTGCTGCTAGCGACGATCGGTTTGGGACAAGAGGACCAAATAGACGACAGCAAAAAAAGTTTAAAGATTTATTTTTTTATTTTAATATGTATATTTTTTAGTTATTCACCAATTCCTCAAAACTTATTTGTTACTTCAAATGAAATTTCACAAAGTTTTGTTGGATTAAATATTGTTGGGACATGTACTGATATTGGTAAATTTCGATTGTTTTGGGTTGCCGAACCCTTACCCCACGAATTTAATGGTTAATTTGGAGATTATTTTTAAAATTTTTAAGGGTAAGGCTTTGGAAATTTTAAAAACTAAATTTGCCCAAAAATAATAAAATTAATTTTATTATTTTAAAGAAAAATCATTCTTTCGTTTAACAACTGCACCTGATCCTAGCCAAGTTAGACCTCCAAATATTCTTTTACATTCATTGGAAAATGCAAAGAAAAAATACAAAGAAACGCGTGATTATCGATATGTAATTTATATATTTTTTGAAATTAATTTTTTAAAATTTATTTTTTAGGCCTCAGATCAATTAAAAAGTATTCGACAAGATTTAATGATTCAAAATATTCGGGATGCATTTACAGTTAAAGTATATGAAACTAATGCTCGTGTGGCTTTGGAAAATAAAGATAGAGAGTTTGTTTTTTCTGTTATTTGCCTTCTAGATTTTTTTATTTGACTTTTAAGTTTTAGTTATCTGTAGGTTAACGCTTAATTTTTTGTTTTCTCATTATTCTCAATTGTTTTCTAAATGTATTAAGCTCAAAAAATTATTGTGACCATAGGTGTATTTGTGGTTAAGTGGCTTAATTTTAGTTTTGATTCGTGAAAATAAATAATAAATGTTGGGAAGATGAAGATAAGTTATCCATTCTCTGATGGCGATTGCAGTAAGCATGTCTTGTTTTATTTGTGATCAGTCAAGGTAGAAAACATAAATCCCGAAGCTGATTCCCGACATTTTTTAATCCCTAAAATTCCTACAGATAATCCCTCAAATTTTTTTTATTTTCAGAGAATTCAACCAATGCCAAAACCAACTAAAACAATTATACAAATTAGTGCCAAATTGCCCAAATTGTTGGGAATTTACTAGTTATCGCCTTCTATACTACATTTATATGAAAGAAACTTTGGGTGGGAAATTGGAATTTTAAAAAATATTTTTAAAATTAATTTAAAGATGTTGCCTATTTGTTGGATGAACTTGTCCCAGCAGCAATTTCTGATGAATGTATGGGATTTTCACTTATGGTTTGCTTTTTAGATAATAAAAGAAATGATTTGGATTTTAAAGATTTGGGATGCCTGGTCTATGGGTAATTATATAAAATTGTTACGTTTATATGCAAAGGCTCCAAAAATGTCAGGTAAAAAATGATAAAAAATAATTTTTAAATTAAATTGATAATTTATTTTTTAGGTTATGTAATGGATATGTTTATTGATAGAGAAAGAACTGAATTTTTGATCTCAATAATTAAAGCGTAAATTTTTTATTTTTAAATTAAAAAATATTTTTTCAAAAAAAGGTTTCGCCCTGATATCAAACTTTCATTGTTAATTAATTGGTTACAACTGGAAAATGAGAAGGCTCTAATTGAATTTTTGAAACAAAGAGGTATTGAAGTTGATGGGAGTGAAGATGTACTTGATTGCAGGAAATATGCCAATATAAATATTAAATTCTAAAAATATTTTGTATAATAAGGGATTTTGCTTTTCTTCGAACTGACTTGAGAAATTTTTTGGGAATTAGACAAGAAACTCGACTTCTTTTTTTTTCGAAAAAATATATTTTCGATTTAGCCTAAAATCCAAAAAATTATAAAAAATTATGGCGGAGAAACAATTATAACTTTCCGAAATTTTGAGGGATAGGCAAGGAATGGTTCCAGACCCAGTGGGCGTAGGTTCCGAATATGAAGAAATGTTTTGGTACCACACTAACTTTACAATACCAAGAAAAATCCAATTATTTTTTGATTGGACGCATAAAAGTTCATTGGACGCATAAACTAGACCAGCGCCAAAATTATCTGTCGCTTTGAAACATTTTCTATTTCTAAATTTCCTGAACCAAGGTCATTAAGGCCCGACAGGGAATCCAAAGAATTAAATACGGGGATTTGTGTGTGGAAGAAGCAATTTCCTTAATTTTATCTTTTTAATTTCATCCTATGTGTTTATTGTGATTTGATCATCTAATATTGATTATTTAATACTTTTTTATTCAAAATGAAATAATCAAATGTTTTAGATACTTATAAACAATTTTCTGTTTTGTTTTTAAATGTGAATAGATAAATAAAAATTATAAATATTTTTTTGTCAATTTTTTGGCGTTGTTGGAGTAACTGTTGGAGTTAATAAATATGAAAGGGTTGGAAAAGAGCTTTTAAACCTAAGAAATTAATTTTTATTATTTTTTTCATTTTAAAATATTTTTTTACGATCTTGGACGAGGGACTGGTACTTTCATTATTTGTTTTTCATTGGTTTCTTTTGTCTGATTTAAATTGGTGGTATTTTTTGAATCCTCTATTTCTTTTAAAGATTTTCCAGCTTCTATTAAAGGTGAAGATTTTGTTGGAGGAAATTTATTGTTTATTTGTTGATTTGAGGTTAATTTAATTCCATAATATTTTCTTTCATTGATTAAATGGTTTTTAAATTTTGTTAAATTTTCTTTATAATTTGGATTATTATTAATTTCATTCTGAAAAATAATTTTATTTTTATTAATTAAAAATCTAAATAGGATTTAATATCAATTAGGGGTATTCACCAATAAGGACTGGTCTTGGAGAAAATCTTTGGGGATGTATCGTCATAAGATAAGTTGTAGAATTTTCAAAAAAGTCAAATTTACCCTATTTTCGGAGGCGTGGAAGAGATACATTCCAAGGATGACAAGGGTTGAGAAAAGAGGATAGAAAAAGTCCTAGTTTCGGGTAACTTGTGACATCCCCTGGTACATTCCAAATAACAAATCTTTTTTATTTTTATTCCTAAGATTGCTGCTTTCAATCTCAACTTTTTTCAAAAATTATTTAAAAAAATTTACACAAAATTCCTGTAACAATTCCTTCTCAATTAAAATATTCTTTTTCTCCCCCATTTTATCAAAAATAAATTTTCTTTTAACAAATTGTTCATTATTTAATAATTTTTGAGAATGTTCAATCCAAAAAATATTTTCCTTGCTCTCTAAAATTTAAAAAATATTTTTTTTTCAAAAAATCTCTCCAACCTCTATTCTTTTTTTCAATAATTATTGAAGAATTTTCTTCTTTTTTAATTTTATTATTTTTAAATAAAAATAAAATAAATATTTTAATTAAATATTTAAATATAAAAATATTTATTGGCAATAAAGGGGATAATAAATAACCTAAATATTCTAATAATTCAATTGAATTATCTGTTGTTGTTAAATTTAAAAGTAAATAATATAATAAAAATCCAAAAGCAGAAATTGAAAATAAACCCTTTAAAAATATTTTGCTTTTTAAATTAACAGAATTCATTACACATTACTCCCTTAGGGCTGAAAAATTGTCCATAATGAGTAAGGTTGTCGGTTCTGGACCGAATCAAACCGATGATTTTTCGGTTCGGTTTCGGATATCCGAAGAATTTCCATGAACCGACAACCCTAATAATGAGGTTATCTTAAATAGAGATCGGATCAAGACGAGATCTCGAACTATTTAAAATACCGGTTATCGATGTCCAGATTTTTCAAGATATTTGTCGAGATACGACACTTCTTGTTCGGTCTCTAATCTTAAATAGGAAATATCGTTTAGGCAACCTTCCATCCCAGTGACCAAACAAATTAAAAAAAACTTTACTTAGATTGAGGTTTATCTAGTTTGTGGGTGCTGCTTATAGCAGAGCTGCGTCGAAATAAAAAAATCTTCGGAAATCGAAATTTAATAAAAAATCGAAAATCGAAAGAAAAACGTCGAAAATCGAAATTTCAACGCAGCTCTGGCTTATAGTGAGGGTTGACAGTATTTTTATTTTAAAAAATATTACGTAAAAAATAATTGTTGGAATTAATAACAAAAATAATTTAAAAGTTAACCCAAAAATTGCAAAAGAATTAACTAATATTAAAATAAAAATAAATAATTTTTGGATTGGTTTTTCATTTTCTATTAAAATTAAAAATTGAATAAATTGAGAAGAAAATATTGTCCAAGAATTTGTTATAAATCCAATTATTAATAAAACCCAACAAATTGGCTAAAAAAATTAATTTCATATTCTTTAAATTAAATTTTATATAATTTTTTTAAAGAATTAAATTTTTAAGGAATCCGGATCGAGACAAGATCTTACAAAGATGGTTAAAAAATTTTTTTTTTTCTTCAATGATTGGAAAAACATGTTTTTATGCCTTTTTTCTGTATAATTTTTCTTTTTTTAACGCATATTTCAAGTCTTACTTATCAGCAGAGGTGAATCGGAATTCCGATTTCTCTGTCGTTTTTCCTTCCGATTTCCGAAAATTTAGACAGATTTCCAACTTTTGAGCCATTTCCGATAGTTCCAATTTCCGGCACCTTGTCATTTCCGATTTACCTCTGCTTATCAGTGCTCTTTTTTATGTTTATTCTTGAGGTTACCAGTTACTTTCCGATTTATTTTAGAAAAGTAAAATTTTAACAAAAACGATAATTTTCCTTTGTAAAATCTAATCAATCTAAATATTTTAGAAATGAATTTTTTAATTTTTAAAATAAATAAATTCTCAAACGATAGTAAACTCCTCCTGCTCAGTTTTCTTTGGAAATTTCCACCATTTAAGTTTTCTTTCATTTTGAAGTGAACGTAAAAATAATGAAATAAACTATTTAAATTTTAATTTAAAATTTAATTAATTTTATTTATTTACCCATTCATTATCCGGTAAATTATTTTTAAAATTTTTTCCATTTAAATTAATTAATTCTTTTTCCTCCTTTTCTTCCTCAATTTCATTATTTAATTTTATAATTGTTTTATTTTTTGGGGAAGATTTAATTGAAGGAATTAATAATTTCTTTAATTTTTAATGTTAAATTATAATTAAAATATTTGGTAATACTTCGGCTGACGCCCCCTTTTTTAAACCGTTTTGAAATTTTTTGCCAAAAATTAACCGTTGTTAGAAAATTTTAAAAACCGAAAACCGGGAATTTGTGAAAATGAATGATTTTATTAAAAATTCCCCCAAATATCGGTATTTGCCTAAAACTCAAAACCGAAAACCGGGGGTACCGGTTAATAACCGTTCGCCAACAACCCTATTTTTTACTTGACATATAATTTGTTATACATACAATATCATTCGAAAAGCTGTCCGAGCTGAGTTCTGAACAACATTATGAAGCTTAATTTTCTTTGAACTTTTCTTTTATGATGTTAAAAAGGATTAAAACAACTGCTCATAACTATGTTGATTTAAGTCAGATTTTGATGATTCTAGTGCCGTTCGATTCAGTTCGAAGAGCTCTTTCGAATGTCTATAATTATTCATAGAAAATGAAAAAAATAGAACAGAAAAAGGGGAGGGGACGTTAACCGAAGCTATTTTTTAAAAATTATTTTCCTTTAAAAAAACCTTTTCTTCTTCTGATTTACAATAATTACTTTCGTAAAAACTTTCCTCTTTTTCAGATATTCTTTCTAAAATATTTATATTGTTGTTATCTTTTGTTAAACGTTGTTGTTTTGATAATTTTCCCAAATTAATTAGTTCTAATTCTGACATTTTTAGATATTTTAAAAAGAATCTTGCGCACTAATTTACTCTATATTACCATGGGAACTAATACATACTTTTTATTGAAAGAGAGAGTTGTAAACATTAAAGAGAAAGATTAATGCATTAAAGACAACCGAAAGGAATTCGAAAATGTATCATCGTTTAAACAGATGACGGGTTAGTCAAATTATTTTGGCAATACAGATACGATAATCATAACGAGCATAAGATGTTTTGAAGATGGATATCGAGTATAGAACTTTTCGAAAGCAACGAACTTTCAGACATCGAGTACACACTAGAGATCGGCCTGGGTCTGGACCAAGGCCTGGGTTTTCCTGTACCCAGAATCCAAGCCCATGCAATTTTTGACCTTCCTGGGTTTTTCTTGGACTACAGGCCCAAGTCAATAAATCAAGGCCAGAACTCAGGAACAAGCCCAGGCTTTTCAAAAATAGTTATCCTAGTACGCACGTAGGAACAATACGATAAACAGTCTAAAAACATGCTCCATTGCAGCAAGAAAAATTAAAAAGAAGTCATCAAGAATATCTACAACTTTATGTATATGGTTAGTCCTCTCTCATAAGAAATCTCTTACCGAAAATTTTAGTATAAAAAGAGGGGATTTTTATCATTAAATCAACCCAAAATCAACTCATCAACTCGCAAGGCTACGCCTGTCTTCGTTCACAAGCAAAGTTCGTTCACCGTCAACTAGGTCTGTCATCAACCGAAGATGGTTAATGCATGGTTCTGGGTGTTCTACACGATCGTGTTCTTCGTCTCTGGCTTCGTAAGTTTAATCTGCTTTTTCCTTATCAAAATTCCCCTCCTTTTTAAGCTAACAAATCCTTTTCTCTTTTTTTCAGTATGCAAACAGCTACTTGCGCGAGGAGTACGGCGTCGAGATCGATCTGAAGGGCATTGTGAAAGAAGCAAAGAAGGCTGGCCCCTCAGCATCCAAGAAATCAGCGTCTTCCAAAAAGTCCTCGTCCAAGCGCTCCTCTTCTAAAAGGCGTGGGGCATCTACCTCCAAGGCCAGCAGCAGCAAACGCGGAGGCTCTCGCAAGGGAAGTAAGAAGTCGAGCAGCAGCAAGCGTCGTTCTTCCAGTCTGCCACCACCAAAGAAGCAAATTCCGACACCAAAGGCTATTGGCTCTGTTGCTGCATAAATGGCTTGAAGGAAGAGGATGAATGTAGACGAAGACAAGGATATATAAATAGGAAATAAACTCATCTAAATAAATTGTTTATATCCCCTAATATATTGTATATTTGGTTTTGTAATTTCCCCTCCTATTGTTCTGTTATTATGATTGTTTTGTAATAATATTGTGTGTGTATTGGGTAATTGGTGTAATAAATTGTTTAAAATGATTTTTGAGTGTGTTGTTTGGTCTAGAGACGTGCAAGACTCGTGGTCTTGATGCCAAGACTTCTTGGGGGGTTTTCGGTGTTGAGGTCTAGTCTTTCTTGGAAAATTTTAGGTCTCGCACGTCTCTAATTTAAACTAAAAAAACTAATTTGTGATAGTCCTTGTTACTTCAAGTCTAAGTTAAGGCTCAGATACTTTTCTCCGAACGATTCAGTTACCCCTTAATCTTGGGAAGTATGTGATTTTAGCTGCCTCTCTTTTTCGATTTCTCCCTGTAAATTCAAAGTTTTCGATTAAAATCTTTTAATAATTTTTGACCTTTCCTTAGAAAGAAAATAAAATTTCTGACTTTTAATTAGAGCTATATTTATTGAATTTTTAAAACAAAAAATCAGCTTTCATTTTTTGGTGCTTTTTTCAATTTAAATTCAAATTCTTCGAGTGCTTGTTCTTCTAAATCTCTATTTGGGTCGGGTATTTCGACAACATCTTTTACCTTTTAATTTAAAATTTTTCTAAAAATTTACTCAATAAAAACCTCAGGAACATAAAACTGCATCATATTTTTAATTCCTTGTTTTAAAGTAACTAAAGAACTTGGACAGCCTGTACATGAACCCTTAAAAATAAAAATGTATTTTTTCAAAAAATATGATAATTATAAAGAGTTGTGTGAGGTTATTTTTCAATGGATTTTCTTAAAAACGAATTTTTAATTTTTTCCCTCAACTATTCTTATAATAATTTCTGTATTCTAGATGTTACAAGCAATTAAAAAACATACCTATTAAAGCTTGAGATTTTTGAAAAGCTGGGCCTGAACTCTGGGGTTTGATCTATTGACCTGAGTTGGATCCTGGGCCAGTAGTCCAGGAAAAACCCAGGAAGGTCAAAAAATGCCTGGGCCTGGAAACTGTGTACAGGAAAAACCCAGGCCTTGGTCCAGGCCCGATATCTAATACCTATCGTTAAAGAATTTCAACAATAGCTTAAAAATCACGACAAAAAAAACATTTGATGTGAGTATTGTTATGTCCGAGGGTTGTACGAAAGTAAAAAAATAGGAGAGCCGAGGGAAAATAAAAGAACAAAGAGAAGTTAGCAAAAACAACCAACTCCCCAATCTCTTTACAAAAATTAAAAAACCTTTAATAATAATTTAACAATTCCATCTTCAAATCCAGCATACAAAACATCCCCACCATCTTCCTGTACCATCGGTTTAATTCTTGTTTCCAATAATTCTTTAATTGTAGCGACAACTTCGTCATCTTCTGGCAAAATTGCTTTAAAATAAAAAATTATTTTTAAAAAATAAAATTAAATAAAACCCGTATCTGAAGGCCCAACATTTAAATTATCCAAATTATTTTCAATAATTATAGGTCTCCCATTTTGTAAATGATCCATTATGGCAGCAAAAATTAAAGGTTTCATTAATGCCCAATCTTCATCTTCACCTCTTTTTTGAATACTTACCTTTTAAAATAATTAAATAATTTTTAAAGGAGAATTAAAGAGAATTTCTAAAAAATAAAATGGGAAAGGGTAATATTGAACCTGACAGACCCCATTTTTTCCTCCCCAAGCTTTTCCTTATTCATGTACAGAATGGTCAAACTTTTTCCTTTCTTCCATCTCACTTTCTATATTCTGCCTCAATCAAAAAGGATCATTTAAAAAATGGAAAACTTAAAGCAAATGGGATTTAGAGACCGGACTTTAGTGATCGTACGATAATATCGGTATCGATCCGGTCTCTAATTGGGATGGAAGAAAAAAAAAAGTCTGACCATTCTGAAGATATTTAGGAAAAAACTCGGGGAGGAAAAAAGGGAGTCTGTCAGGTTCAATACATATTGAACCTGGGGAAGTAATTTAAAAAAGAGACGGTAAACAAAAATCAATTTTTAAATAAAGATTCATTATCTTTTCTCATTTTTGGGAAAAAATTGATTTTTAATTTAAAAATAAAAATTACAAAATCTTCCCCAAAGAAAACACTTCTAACACCATCAATCCGAAGTAAATCTCTTAAAATTTAAAATATCAAAAATAATTAAACAAAAATAACCTAGCCAAAGGACTTTGATGGGCAGCTTCTTTTGCAGAAGTAAATTCAAATGTTCGATTAGAATCTTTTAATAATTTTTGACCGGGAAGAAATTTAAGACTGAGAGGATTTGGAGTTTCTTGTATTTGGATAAATAAACGAAGAACTTTAAAAAATGTTTTTTAAATAAATTTAAAGAAATATTACGTTGACTTGTGCTCAAATATGACCTTAACGTAAATGGAAGTTGCTGTCCACAAATTGATTTTTTGGCATTAAAATGAAGAAAATAACAAGACCGAAACATTCTTAAATAATTTAAAAAAACCTTTAGGGCATAAAATTGATAAATTTCAACAAAAAAATTTGACAGAAAATACTTAAACGATAAGCTGATAAGGGGGTACAGCCCAAAACAACGCGGGCCAAAACTACGCGACCGAAACTACGCGACCGAAACTACGCAGGCCAAAACTACGCAAGCCCAAAACTACGCACGCCCATAACTACGCAAAACTATTTAGTACATTCAATTTGAATTCTGCTGTTGATCAATTAATCACTTTCTGATGATCAACCTTTATCAGTTGATCACTTTCTGATGATTCTTTCTTTGGAATCCGGAAAATTGTTTCCTGAAAATCCGGAAAATTCAGGAAAATCTGTACTATTCCGTAACCATTTTCCTGAAAATAATTTCCGTAATTCGGAAAATATGTATTTTTCCGGAAAATACATATTTTTCGGAAAATAATATTTCCCGGAACTCGGAAAAATTCAAACGGAGCCGGTCCGGCACAAGCATGGAATTCAAAATCCGGTTTTCGGATCAAGAAACTGATTTTGCCGGACATTACTAAATAGTTTTGCGTAGTTATGGGCGTGCGTAGTTATGGGCGTGCGTAGTTTTGGGCTTGCGTAGTTTTGGCTTGCGTAGTTTTGGCTTGCGTAGTTTCGGTCGCGTAGTTTTGGCCCGCGTTGTTTTGGGCGTGTCCCGCTGATAAGGCTCTACAGTCCTTTTTCTTTTAATAAACAGAATGCCAATATAACGCCAATTTTCACAATAAAAATAAAATTTGAAACAAAAATGATATTTTAAATTCTCTCGTGTTTGAGCAATAATTTTTTAAAAATTATTTAGTGAGTTCGATATTAGACTTTGTCTGAAGGAAGTTTAGAACAATATCTCTTTATTTATTATTAACAAGCAAAAAAACATATAAAGAAAGCCTAACATAATCTAATCCAAATTTACCTATACAATAACAGCAAAAAAAACAATATTTTTACACACATACAATACAAAGGAAATAATCTTTTTATTTTATCAGATATATATTTAGATAAGCGTATTTACTTTCGTCTTGGTTCTGGTCTTCGATGCCAATGAAAGTCCAGGATTCTTTTCAATTGTCACCTCAGATTTTTCATAACCAATTTTGCTACCTCCTTTCTGCTTCTTTTCTTTCTTTGTTTTGGACTTGGTTTCCTCCTCTTTTTTATCACTTTTCAAGATCATCAAAACGATGAGAACAACAATGCCGGTAATCCTAAAAATGGGGGGATTATTTTTCAAAAACTTTTTACCCATAACTTACACAACAATAATCACAACAATAAACAGAAAAGCAATCAACAATCCACTTTTACTCTCCTCCGCCTTTGAAGTAGTCGTTGTTGTTGTTTTTCTTGTTGTGGTAGTTGAAGTAGATGTTGATTTGGGAGGAACTCCTTTTGTAGTTGTGGATGTATCAGCAGGCGGAAGGGTTTTAGATGTAGTTGGAGTTGTAGAAGTAGATGATGTAGTAGTTGTTGTTGTTGTAGTGGGAGGTAAGGTACTATCGGTATCCCTTCGGCCAAAAAATGGAAACCTTCGTTTAGGTCTGATTTGGCCTGACACAATGAAGCAGAAGAGCAAAAGCAACACTAACACTTGCCGCATTATAAAACAGACAGAACTAAGCTGATATTTTTGAAATATGACTATTAATGAAGAGAAATGAAGGCTTTTATAGTTTTACTGAACTGAAAGTATTAGTTTTAAAGCAGGGCTTTCATTCGTAATTATTTTGGAAGACAGCAGTTAGAAATAGACTATTTGGTTAAAAAATTAAATTTAACCTCAAAATTCTCAAAGTTTTAGACTGCGGCTCAAGAAAGACTAATTAGGGTAAGAATTTAGGAAATTTTGACTTATAGGGGACTTTTTTTGGCTGGACCGATTTCGATAAATGATATGTCATTCGAAAGAGCTCGTCGAGCTGAGTCGAATGAGGGGAGAATGGTATCGATCCGACAATCAGGGACCGAGTTAAAGACCCCCGAAGTTTGAAAAAGAGAAGGGGGGAGTAAGCTCATTTTGGTCAAAAAAATCAAAAATGTAAATTAAAGATCATTCGTAAGAACTCCTCGAGCTGAGTCGAATGACACCAAAATCAGCTCGATTGAACAAGTTTGGACAAAGTTATGACACAAAAACAAATAACGTAAACCTATGGAGCGTCGGCGAAGCGCTTGTGCAAAACCCCGCGCTTCGCGCGGGGTTTTGCGGCACGCGCTTCGCGGGGAGTCTACGGGCGCTGGGTCTGGGCTCGTAACATAAACCTATTCCTATTTCCCTTGCTCTAGATGTACCCGGGGCCTTGTAGCAGCAAAAACCACGGAGACCATAGGTAAGGAGCAAAAAATGACACATAACTTTGTCCAAACTTGTTCAATCGAGCTGATTTTGGTGTCGTTCGACTCAGCTCGGTGAGTTCTTAAAAATGAGGTATAATTTACATTTTTGAATTTTTTTGACCAAAATGAGCTTACTCCCCCCTTCTCTTTTTCAAACTTCAGGGGTCTGTAACTCGGTCCCTGATTGTCGGATCGATACCATTCACCCCTCATTCGACTCAGCTCGACGAACTCTTTCGAATGACATTTCATTTGTCGAAATCGGTCCAGCCAAAAAAAGTCCCTTATAAGTCAATAGTACCAGAATTTAAATTACCCCATAAACTTGACAGTGTACATACATATGTATTATATTTATTATTCACAAACAACAAAATATACAAAGCATAACATAATCTAATCTAAATTTTATAGGTACATACAATACAAAGGAAATAATCTTTTTATTTTATCCGATATATATTTAGATAAGCGTATTTACTTTCGTCTTGGTTCTGGTCTTCGATGCCAATGAAAGTCCAGGATTCTTTTCAATTGTCACCTCAGATTTTTCATAACCAATTTTGCTACCTCCTTTCTGCTTCTTTTCTTTCTTTGTTTTGGACTTGGTTTCCTCCTCCTTTTTATCACTTTTCAAGATCATCAAAACGATGAGAACAACAATGCCGGTAATCCTAAAAATGGGGGGATTATTTTTCAAAAACTTTTTAACTGAAACTTACACAACAATAATCACAACAATAAACAGAAAAGCAATCAACAATCCACTTTTACTCTCTTCCGCCTTTGAAGTAGTCGTTGTTGTTGTTGTTTTAGTTGTGGTAGTTGAAGTAGAAGATGATTTGTCAACAACCGGAGGAACTCCTTTTGTAGTTGTGGATGTATCAGCAGGAGCAGGAGGAATGGTTTTAGATGTAGTTGGAGTTGTAGAAGTAGATGAGGTAGATGAAGTGGTCGAAGTACTAGTTGAAGTGGTAGTTGGTGTAGAAAAGAACCCCCAAACTATAGGTGGACCCTTTGGTTTAGGCTTGATTTCGCCTGACACAATGAAGCAGAAGAGCAAAAGCACCACGAACACTTGCCGCATTATGAAACAGACAGAACTAAGCTGAAATTCTTGAAAAATGACGATAAAGCAAGAAAAACTTAGGTTTTTATAGTATTGGAAATTAAAATGTTGATTATTTGTTGCTTATAATTAGGGTTGCCGTTTACGAGTGGGCCGACGTTCGAGTTTTTATCGGGCCTCATTTTTATCGGGCCGGCCCGACCGAGTCTTTTTCGGGCTTCATTTTTATCGAGTCGGGCAAAAATCTTTTTCGGGCCAAAATTCCATTGAAAATATTAAACAAAAATCAATAATAATGCCTTATCTATTTTGTGATATAAGGATTTGAAGGGATAGTCATTTGGACAAATGTTGATCTCAGCATCATGGAAGGATTAAGGGATTACGAAGGATATCGAAGGATTAACTTATTTTTCCCAAACACTTTAAATTTAGGTATTTTCTTTGAAAATTTTTAGAAAATTCCAGTCAAGTTTACAATAAAATTATTATAGTAAAGCAGCTGAGCTATAGCTATTTCTCCCCTTTGGCTAGTGTTAAAGGGGAGATTATTTATTTATTCGGCGGCTGGGAGCGAACCAGCATCTTCAGTAGACCGGACTGATGTGTTAGCCAATACACAACGCCGCCTTAGAAATTAAATAGCTATACATATGCTTTACAATATTAAAAACAATTTATTTGGTCTAGATCTTGATCATGGACATTAATTTTATTTATGAGAGACATGATAGGAATCCGAATTTTTATTTAAACCAGGGCTCCGATCGACAAAATGCCACTCAAAAGTATCAAAATCTTGTAAAAAAAGTACATAGGGAGAAAATTTGCAAATAAAAAGTACACTCAAAATTAAATTTGAAAATATTTATTCGTGATCAAATCTTTTATATTTCTCTCCTAAATTAATCTTTTCTAATAATTTCTTGTTTCAACTGAGCACATGAAGCAAAGCTCTGACAGTCTTAACCTCAAGCGAGTTTCTTTCGTCCATTGAATGTTTGCCATTGAGAAGCGCCGCAGGCGAAAATTTTGAGAATTTTGGAGGTCCTTAAGCCAGATTTCTTCGTTTTTTTAAAAATGTTGATAAAAAAGTACATACTTTCAAAAAAGTACAAATTCAATTTCGGAAGTACGAAGGGTGATAAAAAAGTACAATACTTTTAAAAAAGTACGAATCGGAGCCCTGATTTAAACTATTTTAAAATTAAATTTTATTATTTTACAATAAATTAAAAATTATATTTGAATATGTATATAATCGAGATCATTTTTATTTTTAAAACCCGTCTTTGTATAACACATTTACACATTGATATATTTAATTAATTAATAATTCTTTGGTAAAGGAAATTTTTTTCTTTTTTGCCGTTCATGTTCAAACTTAAAAAAATATTTTTTCCATAAAAAAATAATTCTTAAAAAACCCCAGAAAGCAATGCTCTTCCCAAATATGTAACCATTTCAATCCAGGCTTCTTGAGCAAACAAATTTAATTTTTTATCTAGTAAATCGCATAAAGTTCCGATTATTTGACTACAAAATAATCGAACAGTTTTTTCGTTAAAATGGTCTTTCTAAAAATTTAAAAATTTAAAAAATTATTTAAAAAATATTTTTTACAATATTTGCTCTATAATGCCTTTGTCCATAAGCAAAAAGTACGGGAAGCCTTAAATTATTAAAATTAATAAATTGGAGTTTGTGTTGTTTTTAAATATTTTTTGGAGATTTATTGTTTAAATTTCCAAAATTTAATTTATATTTTGGTACTTTTCTATCATGCAGAGGTGAATCGGAAATGACGAAGGTGCCAGAAATCGGAACTGTCGGAAATAAGAAGTTGGAATTCCGATTTGTCTCTGCCATTAGGTCACACCCTTTTGCAAGTTTTGGATCATTTGAAAGAGTTTATTAAGCTAAGCTGCTCATCTAACCCATAAAATTTTAACCGGCTTACAATCAGCCGATAATAACTGATAAGAATATTTTCGATCTCAACGATTCTGGGGTCATTCAACTCATCTCGATGAGCTCTGTTCAAATGAGCTATCATAGGATATACAAAAAATCCCATACTTAGATCTTTCGTTTTCTGTTTTATATATGACAATTTTAGTTATTAATTAGGGAATGTTAAAAATTTTTTTATCACTAATACATATTTAAAAACAAACATTTCTTTTTCCAATTCGGCAGAATTTCTAACAGATAAATCTAATATATTATTAAATATCCGAACATGTCTAGAAAATGGATGTTGATCCCATTGATTTTCATCCAATTCAAAAATTGAAATATTTGGGGATATTCCAAAAAGCTTTAAAAAATATTTTTTAATTTTATTAAAATTATTGAAAATAAAATAATTTAAAAATTAATTCGCAAATATTATTAGAAACCGGTCTTGACAATTAATTAAGATTTGGTTATCCTGATAACTATGTTTCGAACGATATTTAACTTTAGTTCAAACAAAGTTCAACTTAAAAGAATTATTTTTTCTTGAAAGAATTATTTTTTGGTAAAAAAATTTTAAATAAAAAATCAAATTTCTTTACAGATTTTAATTCAGGCGCTCTTTCAAATATTCTATCAAAAGTAAAAAAAGCAAAGCTTCTATCTGGCCCAGCAAAAAGTCTAATTTTTTCATTAGCTAATAACCAAGTTTTTTGTATTATTTCTGATTGCTACATAGTTAAATTAAATTAAAATTTAATTAAAAAAAACCCTTAATTCACCTCAAAATTTAAAATATTAATTTCAATATTCGAAGAAAATAAACGATTATTTAAATTAATTAATCCAAAAACATTTCCAACACTTCCCAAACGTTGCTGTGAATGATGATTGGGAGAACATTTTATATTTGATTGTAAAGGTTTTAAATCAAATAAAAAATTATTGTCCTTTTTAAATTAAATTAAAATTAATTTTTATTTAAATTAATTAACTGTGTGTTTATTATCTAATGATTTGGCAAGTGTTCTTTCTGAGAATGATGACTAAAAAATTTAATTTAATTTAATAGAAGAAGAAAATTGTTTAAGATTAATTTTAAGTATGAAATTGGGACATAGGAGAACCTCAATTTTACATACACCCTTTGGGCTGAAAAATTGTTTTACGTAGAAAGAAGTATATGTATTTAAAATAGAAGACGTTGACTAGATAACTTCTCCACTAGAGATCGAATTTTTGAAAAGACTGGGCCTGTTCCTGAACTCCGGAGTTTGATTTATTGACCTGGGCCGGATCCTGGGCCTGTAGACCAGGAAAAACCCAGGAAGGTTAAAAAATGCCTGGACCTGGGTACAGGAAAAATCCAGGCCTTGGTCCAGCTCGATCTGTAACCCAATGGCTAACCTACTAAAAAAAGGTACCTTAACTTTAGGGGTTATGAAAGTTTGAGTGTACGTTGTACGTAAAGTCTATTATCAGGGATCGCGCCGTCCCGATTGCCGAAACTATGAAAGAGTGTGTTTGCCCCTAGTCCATAACTAATTTGTATTTCTTTGGATAATATAAAAGAGAAATTATTAAAACAAACTTTTTTGGCATTTTGTGAGGAATTATCAGAACCACTAGTTGTTTGGCCTTTAAAATATTTCATTTTAAATTTAGAAATATTTAAAAATAATATTTTCAAAAACTCACCCCTTTCAAGACGCTTTTTGGCAGCTATTTTGCGTGAATCAACTTTTTGGGCCTTATGCTAAATTTAATTTATATTTAATTAATTTAATTAAATTTACTTTAAAATATAAAGGGATTACTGAAGAATTTTCACTTTCTCCTTTCTGATTATTTAAAGAATTAATTTCTAAATAAATTTCTGTATTTAGTCGAATATCAAAATTATTCTAAAATTTAATTTTAAAAATTATTTTAAATTTTCAAAAATATTTATTTTTTACTTTTTTTTCCTCATTAATTTCCTTTTCCTGATTAACTCCATTTATTTCAATTTGTGGAAGCGAGGAAGTATTTTTATTATTTTTAATTATTTTATTTTCTTCTTTGAAGGAATTGAACTTTAAAAAAAGCAACATTTGTTCAAAAAATATTTTTTAAAAAAATATTTACTTGTTCACACATTTCTATAGATTGATGGGCACTTTGAGTGAATGAACGATAATTATTATTCTTTTAGATAATTATTTAATTTTGAAAATAAATTTATTTATTAACCTTTATTTTAACTGAATTAATTACTTCATTCCCTGTCGATTGACGGCGTAAACCCAAAATTTCTGTCATTTTAAATCGAGTTGATTTTCCGGATTTTTGAACTGACTAAATAAATATGCTGTACTCTTTCTTGAATGATTTTCCTGGGTGTCTCAACCTCTCACTGGAGAAGGTACTAATCGGGAGAGAGGTGATTATTCGAGTTTTAAATTTGTAGGGCATGTGAGAGAGGATGGCAATTATTTAATTATTTTCTCAACTTCACACTCGAGGGGGTAACTAATAGAGAGTGGGTAATTATCCTAAGGAGGCTAATTAATCAAGAAATACTGTTATAAATTTTCTAATTTTTCAATTTAAATAAATTTACATTTGTTGTGCTTGTATTTATTGCTGGGCTAGAATAATTCCCTCCACCGTTTGGATGAGTATTTCCCATTTTTTAAAAATAATATTTAAAAAATAAACTAAAAATTTTAAAAATTAATTTAAAATATTTTTTTTTCAGAAAAAGGTAAATAAAAAAAAATATTTTTTGTTTCAGTCATTTAATATTTAAAAATAAACAAAAATTCAAATTGACAACAAAAAATCTCAAATTTAATTAATTAACAAAAAAGAGAAGAACATTTTTTATTTTTTAAGATTTGTGGAAAAAGAAGAAGCATTAATTATAAAAACTTGAGAGACAAGCAAAGCTTTTAAAAATATAAAAATGTGTGTGTGTGTGTGTGATTCTTGGCCAAAAAAGGAGAAAATAGATAAATATTAAAATTTAATTGGAATTGGCATGAAAATATTAAAAAAGAAAAGGGAAAAGATACAAATAAATAAAAAAAAGTTTTTGTTGAATATTGACAACAAAAAAATAGGAAAAAAATATTTTTTATAAAATAAATTAAAAAAAATAAATAATAATTTTGAAAGTGTCAAGAAAATATAAATAAATATTTACGTTTACTTCTTTGATGCTTTTTTATTTTTTAGAATTTCAATCAAAAATCTCTTTAAATTTTAAAATAAATATTTTGAGCTTGTGATATAGAATTTTTAGTAGAAACCAAGTTCCGGAGGCCGTTACGGCCTCGGGAATGAGCCCCCACAGAACTTTATATGCGCCTTATACATAAAGTATCTGAGACAATGTGTAACTTTTAGGGACCGCCTGACAAAACTGTAACCTCTAGAATTTTTGAAAAATTAGAAGACGAAACTCAAAACTATTTTATATTTAAATTAGGGTTGTTGGCGACCGGTTTTGAAACCGGAATTTTTGAAATTTTTTGCCAAAAATTAACCGTTTTTAGAAAATTTTAAAAACCGAAAACCGGAAATTTGTGAAAATTAGTGATTTTATTTGAAATTCCCCCAAAAATAAACCGGTATTTGCCTAAAACTCAAAACCGAAAACCGGGTTTCTAAAATTTAGATTAACCGAAAACCGGGGGTACCGGGACAAAAAATTTTAATAAAAAATTAAGTTTCCAAAAAATTATAAGTTACCGTATATACTCTATAAATTATCTGGGCAATTATTTTTTCGACCTCTCTCTGGGGTCGACAATTGGCGTCAATGTCATTAGAAATGTCACAAATTTAAGTGTCGCTTAGTGAAACACAATCCTATGTTAATGTAGCAGTGCGATTGACACTTGGACATTGACATTTAATGACAATGGCGTTTGGTGGAATAGGCCCATGGAGTGGGTAATTAACAGAGGTTATTTTAGGAAGGCTAATCAATCTTTCGCTGGAGGAGGGGTAACTAATAGAGGCGGGGTAATTATTTGAGGGAGGGTAATTAATAAGGTATATACGGTAATCTATTTATTTAAAGGGTTTAAAAAATATTTCAAATAAAATCTGATACTAACAAAAATTCATTTCCCTTTATAAAATTAATTTTTCTAATTATTTAAATCAAAAAAATTTATTAAAAAAATTAATAAAATATTTTAATAATTATTTAATAAAAAATATATTTGTACATACAAATATATAAAAATGTGTTGAAAATGTATTTACAACACGCTAAAAAATGCGGGGGTGTCAGTGAAGCAGAAATTCTTAAGAAAATGGCAAAAGAAAAGATTGCCTTAAAATAAGCTAATAAAAAATAATAAAAAGCTTTGTTTTTTTAGAAAGTTTGTAGATTCTGCCATTAATTTTTAAAATAAAAATTAGAGAAAATATATAAGTAGAAAATAGAGTCAGAAATATTTAAATAATTTACACAAAATATTTAAAATTAAGGAAAAGCTAGATAAAATATAAAGTCGGATCTCTGATATAACTAAATTGAAGGGACTGAAGAAATCAAGTGATTCGTTAAATCAGGTGTCATTCTAGGGGAAAGATTTAAACAGAGATCGTTTCACAAATTTTCTAAGTTCTGATAAAAGATATAAGTGTTAGAAAAATTTTTAATAAAAACATTAATTATATGTTTTGAGAAGGAAATTCTTAAATGTTTAAAATGTTTTATTTGAAGTTACTTGTCTTTAAACGTAAAAATAATTTATAAAAGAAAAATACGAATTTCCTAAATAAGGAATTTTATAAAAAATTATACAGACATAATGAACATTTTAATATCACATATACATACATAAATTACAAAAATAATCACCAATATATTAATTATACTTTAACAATATTTTCATCATCCTCTTCATTCTTTTCAATTTGTAAAACAAAATCCTCCTTATCCTCCCTCTTCTCTTGTTTTTCCTCTTCTTCTTTTTCTTCTTCTTCTTCTCTTTGTGTTTTATCAACCATTAAACTATTACTAGTTCCCTCACTAACAATTTCAACTTCCTCAGAATTTTCATTATCACTACTTGTTTCTTCATCTTCTTGTGTTTTATCAACATCCAAACCTTCATCTTCAGCTACAATAACTACTGGATTTATACTTAAATCGCTTTTGAATTCGTCTTCTGGTTTGTCTGTTTTCTTCAAATAAATTAAATAATAACCAATTGCAAAACAAATTAATAGACTAAAAAAGAAAAAAAATTGTTATTTTAAATATGTACGAGAAGGGAACACCATGATCTACCACAACCCTTAACTATGGTAATGGACCTAGACAATTTTGGAATTATTCTATTTATCTACTACTACACAGCGTTCCAAAATTATACGCACCCCTAATTTTCCATGTTTTATGAATTTTCCTATGTTATTTTAATCAGATATTTTATCTATTGATTCTTCCTGATAAATTAAATGTTTAAACAAGAAATTAAAAAAAATCTTTACATTATTTAACTTTTTATGCCAAATTACTTAAACTATTACGTTGACTCTATCTGACTGAGAATGTCATAAAAGAATCGGGATAACCTCGATTCGATCTATAGTCATGATATAACATTTCTGCAATAAATCAGGTCTGTGGTAGACTGACAAAATATCAAACTAAACACAACTTACATAAGTATAGCAAACATAATTATCGCATCAATTATTCCATCCTTTTCTCTTTTGTTTGGTTCTGGCGGAAATATAAGCACTGGTATTGTTGCTTTAGTTTTATTTAAAGTTTTTATTTCTTCTGTAGTTGTTACTAAAGTAAAGTTTTCGGAATTATTTAAAGTTTTTGTTGATATTGTTTCTGTAATTGTTGAATTGTTTTCTGGATTTAATGTTGTAGTAAATGTTTTGTTGTTAAAAGAAGGTGGTGATTTTGTTGTAGAATAATTAATTGATGTTGTTGTTCTTGTAAATTTTTTCCGAGGTTTATATTTTGTTGTTAAAATTTTATATTTTTCACCAGACTAAAAAATAAACAGTTTAAAAAAGAGTTGCAGTCAAATCTCTATAATGTAAACTAAATTGGGTGGTATAGCTTAGGAATTGGAGATCGCCTATAGTGAGATCTGACTATAATAAGTTAGCAACTAAACTTACAAATTCAATTGCAAAATAACAACTTGGGATATCCATCTTCTCTTCTTCGTTAATTGTCCCATTTTTTATGCAAGAAGGGAATATATAATTGGGCAATAAATGTAAAACAATTAATCGTTTGCCAATTAAACTTTCATCGCTATTATCTCCAACATTTATAATTTTCCAAGCCTTCACAGTAATTAATTCTTCTGAACGTTGATCTGTCTCTAAATGTGGATAACAATAGATGGACTTTTCCTCTTCAATTAGATGAGGAAATGTGTTCATATGAAAATTGAGTTTAATAAATTCTTGAGAGATGTCGATTTTGTGTTTGAAACATAAAGAAGAATATGAACAGCTGACAGCTTTAAATTTTTAAATTAAATTTAAAGCAAATTCAGAATTTACCTCGAAATGACCCAACTACTAACGAATACACCTTCTCCTCTTCACGAATACAACTTCCTATGTGATATACACCCAATGGCATATCATTATCGTTAAAAGCAAGAGTGAGGCTGAAATAAAAATATTTTTAAATTGAAAATATATTAGTTAGGGTTGCCGTTTTAGGTTCGAGCCTACGTTCGGTGCATATTTTTCGAGCGTAATTTTTTAAAATTCGGTTCGTTTTCGAGTTTTACGAGCTTGGTTTTTTTCGATTCGGTTTCGAGCTTTTCGAGTCGACTCGCTCGATCTTTCGAGTTTCGGGTAGAGCGAGCTGGCAACCCTAATATTAGTAATGGACATACATATTTGTATTCATTAATTCAAAATCAGAACAATTAGCTAAACACTTAGATAATGAATCGTTGTAATTATACAATACCATAGTGAATTCAACGGTATATGAAGTATCGAAAAAGTTTAAAATATCCGAATCTTCAACAATAAAGTCCACAATACAATCTCCATCTTCCTGAAAGTACACAATTCTGAAAATATTTTTTATGAATATAAATTAATAATTTAATTTACATATTGTTATTGTAATCGATGTGCAAATCACACGATTCTTCCGGTGATAGAATGTTGTAGTCTTTCGTGTCCTCCCTTTCAGCAATCCTCGAACCATTACTCAGAATCACATTATCACCCTCCAATTTGTGTTTGCCCCGTCCAACTTCAATTATTCTAGTAGTAGATTCAACAAGATTTAACGATCCGAC